CAATGCCCCCAAGTTCAATGCCCTCACCTATGTGGGCCTGATCAACGAGAACTGTGCGGCGGGCACGGAGCTGTCCATGAACCATGCCATCCACATCCAGGATGCGGACGAGGGCGTCAATGCCGAGTTTCGGGTGCAGCTGCAGGGCGACTACAGTGAGGAATTCAGCATTGAGTATGTGAACGGGAGCCTCTCGGGGGCTGCTGGGAACACCAGCCAGCACAAGATGCCGCCCACAACGGGCGCCTTTAACATATTCAATCTGACGGATCAGTGGAACGACGAGTTCAAGTACCAGGAGCTGCACACCACCTTCATGCAGTCGAACTTCAAGCTGAGCAGCGGCCCCTACTTCCGCATCAGCTACACGGGCAAGCGGGGCCTGGACAGGGAGAAGCAGCAGCTGTACAATCTGAAGCTGATTGCCGCCGACAGCGGGGGCCTGTCGGGCTATGCCCACTTGACCATCCTCGTGGCGGATGTCAACGACAATGCCCCCATCTTTGAGCGCATTTCTGTGTTCAAGGACTCGCGCCTGGAGATACGCGAGTACACCACCGACATGGAGATTTACTTTGTGGAGAGCTCCAGCGGCATGGCAGCGCCCCAGGCCACTGCGGCAATGATGCTGGCCCCGCCGCCCTATCACATTCCGGGCTCCCCGCGTCTCCACATGGATCGGGAGAGGGCTGTGGCAGTCGGTGTTGTGGGTCGAGCCAAGTCGCGTCGTCGCATGGTCCGGGCCCTGACCACCAAGTGTCCCCTCTTTGCCATCTACGAGGACACGCCCATTGGGGCGAAACTGTTGCAGCTGAGTGCCAGTGACGAGGACTTTGGCAAGAATTCGCAGCTGCACTACGAGCTCCTGGGGGAGCAGGTGGAGCGCTCTCCGGGCATGCCGCTGCTGAAGGTCCAGGGTGTGCGCCACTTCACGATGGACAAGCTGAGCGGGGAGCTTTCGGTGAACTTTCCGCTGGCGGCCAACATTGAAATCTGGCTGAATCTGAGTGTCACGGACATAGACGGCCTCAAGGACACCACCTGCCTTCGCTTCACCGTCATGGACGTGAACAATCATGCGCCGACATTCAGGAAGTCCTGGTACAGCTTCGACACCGCCGAGGGCGAGTACAAGGACAGTGTCCTGGGCCAACTGACGGCCATTGACATGGACTATGGCGAGAACGCCAACATCACGTACACCCTGAGCGACCTGACGCTGCCGTTTACCATCAAGCCCGCCTCCGGAGTGCTGAAGATCAGCGGACAGCTGGATCGGGAGCTGCACGACAAGTACAGCTTCCAGGTGATAGCCACCGACAATGCACCCACGGTGCTCCAGAGGATGTCCAGCAGTGTGGACGTGGAAGTAAACGTCCTGGACATCAACGACAATCGACCCGAGTTCATTGGCTACGATGACCAGACCAAGGCCGTCAAGTACTGGCCAAATGTGGCGGACAGGACCCTCATGCTGCCCGTTTACAAGGCGTACCTGGACCGCAGCACTCAGCCGGGGACTTTTGTGAGACAAATGACGGCCATCGACAAGGATAATGTGGGCAATGGCAATGGGTTGGTGCTCTACTCCATCCGGCACCAGGAACTGCAAGCGCCACTCTTCCAGATCGACTCCCGCGATGGCACCATCACCACAGTCTCCCGGATCAACGGCTACAACGACTATGAGCATCTGAATGTGTCCGTGATTGCCTCGGACGTGGGCAGTCCCTCCCTATCCGCCACCGCAGTGGTGATTGTCAATCTGCAGGGTCAGGCCGTCACTGATCCACCAAAGTCCACGCCCAAGCCCGAGCCGCCGGCCAATGTTACCATCTTCCAGCATGCCTACTACGAAGTGAAGCTGGCCGAGAACAATGAGGCGCCGATTGAGGTAATGCGTCTGAATCTGAGTGCGGGACTCAATCCGGAGAACTATCGCTGGTCGCTGTGGCTGGAAGAGGGCCTGGACGAGACTGATGCCCATCCACCGTTCGAGTACGATGCCAAGAACATGCTCCTCTACGCCCTGAAGCCCTTCGACAGGGAGCACATATCCCGCTATCAATTGCGCATCCGGGCCGATCGCCTCAGCAGGGAGGCGCGCAATTTCGCCCGCGTATCCTACCCGGTGGTGGATGAAAGGATCGAAGGCCTGTCGCCCAACGAGTGTCGCATCCTGGTCCACATATCCGATGAGAACGACAATGCGCCCCGGTTCCGCGGCAATGGACAGCCGATCGTGGCGGTCCTGCCGCAAAGCGCCAGCTTTGGCTATCCAGTGACCCGAGTGCTGGCCACCGATGCAGATGAGGGTCTCAATTCCGAGATACGCTATCGTCTGCTGAATGAGCCCACGCGTCTCTTTGGCATCGATGAGACGACCGGCAATATACGCCTGCTGGGAGATCTGCCCCACGATGAACACCTCTATGGTTTCGATGTGAAGGCTACCGATCGCATGGGGGCCGACGATGGACGCAGCGGCATTGTCAACGTCTTTGTCTACATCATCGATGAGTCCAAGCAGGTGCGTCTGGTGGTGGCCGGCAAACCCGTGGAGGTGGAGCGTCGCATTGAGGGTCTAATGGAGGCGCTAAGCTCCGCAATTGGCAGGGATGTGCGTGTGAGACTTCTGGAGCCCCACTCGAATGCACTGGAACCAGCGTAAGTAGAACAGAAAGTCCATGTAAGAAGATTAGAATATAGTCGTATTAATTACCAAGTAAAGAGCTCGTAAATATACCGCTCTACAAATTCCTCTTAGTTCCCAAATTTAACCCGTTTTGTCAGCCTTTCATATGATGATAATCGATGATCTAAACCTCCTAACCTAACGGTTTCTTTCACAGCACCAATGCCTATATATATGCCGTTGATCCCCACACGAATTCCATTATGGAAATGGAACAGCTACAGGAGTAAGTCTTCGCTTCTCCTACTACCATTCCCTACTCCCAGCTCCCACTTGACCCACTTGTGTCAACGCTTACAAATGATCTTCTGTATTGTTGCAGCTCTTTGGCGGGGCTCCAGCTAGATGCACTGCAGCTCCAGCAGCAGAAGGTCGATGGAAGCAAGTCCATGCCGCGCATAATCGAATTGGCGGAGTTCGGACAGGCGGCGCGACCCACCCACGCCTCCGCATCCAGCTTCATGGGAGGACTGGAATTCGTGACCGTCTTGCTACTGGTTCTGATCAGCCTGGGGGCACTTTTTTCCGCCTGCTGCTACCTGTGCGTGCGCCAGAAACGGTAAAGAATGAAGGGGCTAAGGCACTACAAGTGCAACTGCAACTGCAACCGAGTGAAAGACTGCTCTTTAGTAGCCCATAGATGCATCTGATGTTAGCCATAGTATATGTAGGAGTAGCTTATGCTTAAGACCGTATAATACAATAAATCTTAAGAGGATTGCAATTTCATGTGCTTTGGTTGTTGTTGTTGCTGTTGCTGCTGTTGTTGTTCCTCTGTCGCTGCTGGCGCTGATGATAATGCTCTGATACAGCAGCATTTTCCTAATGGGGCTCTCGGTTCTCGAAGGAAACCGGCTTCGCTTAGGCCTCTCCTATCCGATTAAATTATAACGGTAAAAAACAACAAACACAACACATCAAATGGCAACAACCAAAGCTGCAACATGGGGCAATTAGATGAAGCAGAAGAAGATGATGTGGTGACAACTGCAACTCAAATGGAAAGCCATTTCTCTGAAACGTCTCTTCTCATGTGTGCTTGCAGCCGTCTCTGGTCCCAGCGCGACTTTGCTGCCTCGGATGCTGGCCTCACATACACCATAGCTGGCATCGGGGCCTCCTCCCGTGGCCAGAAGCAGCGTCGCCAGCGCCCGCAGCGGCACACACAGCGCTGCAGCAAGGGCAGCGCCGGGAGCCAGCGGCCAACGAGCGCCTTCATGCCCGAGTCGGTCTGCTCCTCGGCCCAGACCCAGTCGACGGCCACGGCAACGGAGAAACTGGAGCAACAGTTGCATCATCATCACCAGCAACAGGCTCTGGCCACGCAGCAGCAGCATCATCAGTACCTGAACGAGTAAGTGAATGGCAATGAGAGCCCGAACGGGTTTCCCATTCTATGTTCGAATCCACCATCTATCCTCATCCTCAGACAGCAGCGACAGCGCGAGTACATTGATGTGCCGCTGCCCAAGTCCATTGCCAAGGCAGCGGCGGCGGCAGCAGCAGCCGCTGGCACAGATGCCAACGTTGGGGCAGGCACAGGCAGCACACCATTTGTGCTCAAATACAATTCCTGTCAGCCAGTGAACAATCTGTGAGTGGACATAGTTGGAAATCACCTCAATCCATAACCATTCTCCTCTCATACGTGTACATGTAGAAACAACTATGAGACCTCGCTGTTCTCGCTGCACTCGACGGGACAGGACTCGGGTGTGGAGTTCCTGAGCAGCCGCGAGCTGTACGAGACCTCGCCGGACTCCTTCCAGCACAGCGGCTCGAAGCGCATCACCAATCCAGAAGTACTCTGTCCCAGACATGCCAAGGCCCACCTAGAGCTGCGACAGCAGCAACAGCAGCCCAACACGGACAGCAGGTTAGTCGTAGGTTATGCCAAATTGCCTCAGGATCATTTGATCGATCAAGTCGCTTTTGTAGTGACACCTACGAGGATTCCCTGAAGACCGATGAACCGCTGGTGGCGCACAACTGCCGCAACGGGAGCTGTGAGCACCGCCAGCACCACCATCAGCATCCCCACTATCAGAATACCCGCTTCGAGAAGCGCTCCTGTGTGCGACACTCGTTCTCCGGCGTCAAGGATGACCTGATGCAGAGCTCGCCGCAGATCTCGCTTCGTCCTCGGGGTCATGCGCTGCGCAACTCGATGAACGATCTGGAGCAGCGGCTGCACAACCTGGAGCAGTCCTTTCAACGACCCCTCGAGTTTAGCAAATCGAATTCTTTGTTCTAGTTGATACGTAAACCAAGTGCAATCTTTAGTCTACTTTAAGCTTAGCCTAGATGTCTATTCATAAGAACCAAGTGCAATAAAACGAATGAACGATCAGTTGTCGAAGTATTTGCGGAACTCCAGGCATCCAGTCCAATTGATGACCCAGCCGGGCGTAACCTCCTTGGCGTGCTCGTACCATTTGGCCACATTGGCATATCGCTTGTAGTCAAAGCCGGCCACATCGAAGGTGGACACCGTGGCCAAGAGGGCAATATCAGCTACGCTGTAGTCCCCAGCTGCATAGGTCTGTCCCTCGAGCAACGTATTGAAGATCTCGAAGGCCGATTCGATTTTCTTGTAGTGCTCCGCGTTGGGCGCCTGTTTCTGGAAGATCTGCGGGTAGTAGTAGTCGGCAAAGCTCTTGTAGAGGGTGCCCATATCGAAGTACAGACGCTGGTTGATCAGGGCCTGTTTCTGAACGTCCTTGGGAAAGAGCTTGTCATCCTTGCCGTACTTCTCCACGAGATACACCATAATGGCACGAGACTCCCACAACGAAAAACCATTGTCATCCAAGGTCGGAATCGTGTGCTGTGGATTGATCTTCAGGTATTCCGGCTTGAACTGATCCCCGGCACGGGTGTTGATGATGATTTTCTTATCGAATTCCAAGCCAATGGCCTTGGCTGTCATAAGAACAGATCGGCAGGGGGCAGATCCGGGTCTGTAGTAGAAATCCATGGCTGGGAGGTGATAGGCAGAGGCGGAGGGAGCTCTGTGCAAATAAGCAAATCACAAAAATACGAATAGTTAATCACTTTCTTTTGTGCCGAAAGTACACTGCGAATTCGATGACATAACATCCCATGATGAGCATGCAAAAAATATACAAAGTCCCAACGAACTTACGAGATATTGCTATGTACTATTGTTGCGTATTCGGGAGCTCTATTAACGTCGAGCCACGTCCAAAAACTGAATATCGCTCTACGGTTAAGCTATGTTTTATAGGCAAACACAAAGAAGATAACCAAAAAAAATAATAATAATTTTTCGCTGATGGTTCAATTAGGTTGAGGTGATAATTGACTAATATTTCGTTGGGCGATTAAACCGGTTTGACCAAAACGGAGGGCACGCAGCGAGAGACCAAATATTAAAGGAAAAAATAACTTTAAAAGTACTGGTATTTGTAAAAACGAATTATCTCCATATCATCGCAATAAAACATGCCTAAACACTGAAATGTTGTCAAGTGTTTTTTTCCCAATACCGTTTGACGTTAATTATTTTTGTGGCCTTCTTCGTTATCTGGGAATCTTCTCTACTTACATTATATCATTTCACTCGTAGCACTATCTTATCGGCAGTTTATGAGTATGCCCCATTAAAATTGTTTGAGGTTGTGTACCTTTCGCAATTTCATAAGAGAGTTCAATCGCGCTTATCACATTCGAGAAGAGAAGTCAATGACTTAGTAGTCGCAAAGTAAGAACACACATTTGTGGGTACTCTTTATTAATAGCTCAATTTAAATGCATTACTTTTTCAAGATTTCAGTCAAATACAATTTCTTGTAGTACAAACAGCCCTCCCAGTTCTCCTCCCATCCGGGAATAACCTTCTTCGCATTCTCATACCATCTGACCACATTCGGGAACTTTCTGAAGTCATATTCCGAGATCTCGAAGGTGGAGACGGTGGCCAGGAGAGCAAAATCAGCGAGGGTCAGCTTGTTCAATGCGGCATACAGCTGTCCCTCCAGTAGGGTATTGAACAGCTCAAAGGCCGCATCGATCTTCTTGAAATTTTCGGGATCTGCCGGCTTCTGGACATCCTCAAACAATTGCGGATAGTAGTAGTACACATAGCTCTGATAGAGCGTACCCAAATCGAAGAATAGGCGTTGATTGACCACAGCCTTTTGCTGGGGATCATTGGGGTACAGCGAATCGTCCTTCCCGTACTTCTCTGCCAGGTAAACGAGTATGGCCCTCGACTCCCACACCGCAAGGTCACCATCCACCAGAGTTGGAATCGTGTGCTGAGGATTGATCTTCACGAATTCCGGTTTCAGATGATCGCCAGCATCCAGGTCAACCTTCTTTTTGTTCAGCTCCAAACCCAATGCCTTGGCCGTCATGAGAATGGAACGGCAGGGTGCCGAGTACAGCATGTAGTAAAAGTCCATTATGAAGGTCTATAAGAATTTACAATTTCAGAACATTAGCACGGAAAATAATGTACGACTTAGGAATATTCTTTCAAGGGGAACTATGGAAAAGAATTTTGATGTTTAGCTTTTTCCACTTTACTTTTTGCACGCGTTTGCTATTCTTCTTTATTGGCGATTTCCTGCTGGCTCTATCTCACAAATCAAACTGTAAAACGGCCGGCAAATGCTTAAGCTTTTATGAGCAGATGAAAAAGAGCCCTTTTACAATTTAAGAGAGAGAGAGAAATGCACAGAACGCCCTAAGAGAATTAAATTGCTCTTCACCCACCAACAACCCACACAATAAAATGCCGTTCTCAATAGTTTTTCATTGTTTTGTTGTTTTGCATTCAAAGAAATGAACACTCATTTAATGTGAATAAATTATTGCAATTTGCAAATGGATACACGCCAATTTGGAATTGTTTTGTAACGTGAATAAATATTAGATCAAATATATTTATGTGTATAAAAACACTCGAATATCAGGCAGGTGCTAACTTAATCAAAGTATTTCTTGAACTCCAGGCAGCCGGCCCAGTTCTCCTCCCAGCCGGGGGTGACCTTCTTGGCGTTCTCGTACCACTTGTTCACATTGGCGTACTTCTTGATGTCGAATTTGGCCACCTCGAAGGTGGATACAGTGGCCACCAGAGCAATGTCGGCGACGGTGAGGGAGTCGCCGGCAGCATACTCCTGACCCTCCAGGAAGGTGTTCAGGAACTCGAAGGCAGTCTCGATCTTCTTGAATGCCTCGGGATCAGCGGGGGCCTTGGCGAACACCTGGGGATAGTAGTAGTTGGCGAAGCTCTGGTACAGCGTTCCCATATCGAAGTACAGACGCTGGTTGATCACGGCGCGCTTCTTGGGGCACTTGGGGTACAGAGAATCGGTTTTGCCGTACTTCTCCACCAGATAGACTTGAATGGCGCGCGACTCCCACAGGGCGAAACCGTTGTCCACCAGAGTGGGGATTGTGTGCTGGGGATTGATCTTCACGAACTCGGGCTTCAGATGCTCTCCGGCCTGCAGATTGAGCAGCTTCTTGTTCAGCTCAACACCGACGGCCTTGGCGGTCATGATCACAGAGCGGCAGGGCGAGGAGCCGGGCAAGTAGTAAAAATCAGCCATTTTGTACTGAAGAGAAATCACACAGAACAGAACAGGTCAGAATAGAACAGAACAGCAAAGATATTCATCAATTATAGTAGACACGCTCTATAATTTCAGTTCTCAGACAAAGGCAGACATTAATTGGCCGGCGATTATAAGAATTCACTTGATAAATTACTCCCATGATGATGTCATAAATAGCTAGCTCCTACCAAAGACTATACAATACCACTCCACTTGTATAGTCTTTGCTCCTACGCTTCCTTCGTTTGGGTACTTTTTTTCATATTTCTTTTGCACACTGTTCCTTATTTTTTTGCCACACTAAAACACACACACACACAGGGGGAGAGGATGGAAACTTACAGTTGTTTGTTTGTTGGAAATCTCGCGAAGCACACTGTACCAAATTTGAAAAACTTATGAGCAGACTACGGAGTGGCAGTGGGCTTTTATAGTCTCCGAGAGCAAGCCGGCAAACCAGCGACCCAGTGGCTGGTCGGTCGGGGGGAGTCACGTCACTGCACTATGGTACGAACGACCACTTTTGTTGGTCAAAATGAATAACTCCCGAACGGAACAAGAATTTTTTATTTAGTTTTTTTGTATTGGATATATGTATATATATATAATCAATAAGAAGTGGATTTAAGAAAAAATGGGTGTAGCACCGACTTTTTTTTTAATAATTCATACTTAAATTATTAGTTATAGTGAAAAAGAAGTATTAAGCATATTTTATTTTAAAAAACAGCGTTGCACGCATAACAAAATTTTTGACTTAAATAAAAATAAAATTCTTGCTATATACATTTAAAAAAGAATTTATTAATCTCCGACACACAAAAGGTTTCAGGGTGGGACTAGGTAGGACCCACTTTGTACACCTGTACAAAAATTAGTTTTCATTAAAAGTTGGCACATGTTGAAGGCCTCAATTTAACCTTCAATTACGAAGACATCACAACTACTAGATACAGTTCAAAACTCAAAACACGTAGTAAAAACCCGACTGATTAAGATTCATCAAAAAAATTTAATCTGGTCTTGGCGTTTTTTAATTTTTGAGAGATTTAAAATGGTTATTAATATGGCACTTTATCACTTCAAGTGCTTTACGATAAAAACAGATGGGGTTGCACAGCTCTTTTTGTAATGCAGAGTGATCAAAACCAAGTTCTAGTTTTGACTTTTAAAAATTAGGTTTTTGGTCAACAAAAGTGGTCGTTCGGACCATAGTGCACTGTAAAGAGAAACAGCCGCGAGTTGTTTTTCGTGTCCGCTATGTAGTGCTCTTATATACACCCATACACACCCATGCACACACATACATACATTTATTGGATGAATGTGTAATGCTAGCAGAGTGAATAAAAAGCGCTTGATATACAAGGTGCCTGTGCATGTAGGCGTGGCTGCCTCCTCTGGTCTGGCCTGCAGCTGCCACAGAAAGCTGCAACTTTCTAATGATTCCGTAGCGGAACGTTGCTATTGCTCTTTTTTTTCGCGTCTCTCTTCTCTTAAAATTCCATTTCGTGTTTTTGTTTTTTTTTTTGTCTCGCTCATTTATTATTATTCAGTTGTTGGGGCACATTTTTTTAGCAAACATCTGTGTTCTGTGTAGATCCGAACAGAAGTTCTTTGGTAATCGAGCAACAAATGCGAATTTCACTTAAAAATAAACACATTTATCGAGTGCACAATATGTGAAAAACAAAAGCGGAGAAAGACGAAACCCGAGGCAAACAACAAACGCGATAAGAGCCCATATGCCGGCCGGCTGGCAAACACTACACTCGTATCTGACAGCCGCCACAGCAACAGTTGGCAGAAATTCCCAAGTAAAGTGGTGTGATACTTTTGCTGTGCCTACTGTACTTTTCCAAGCACAAATCCGTTTGTACATACATATGTACATATGTATATCTGTATGTATGGGCCGCATAAATAAATCATGCTAAAATACCCAAAGTTTAGCCAAACTGCAACCTTGATATTGAATCGAGTGTGACTCATTGAATTAGTTAGTAACCCACATTGGGTAGTCGAAACTAAAAGTCATTCCGAATACGTAGTTTCTTATCGATTGTTACTCAGCCGGAAAGTCTAAAGAACTGGGCCGGTTAGTCATTTTTATACCCAAAGGACATGCGAATTTCAAATTAGTGAACAATATTGGTCTATAATTATCATGTTAATATATTAATGGCCACAACAGAATAACAAAGATGTTCTCTTTATTTCATTCCTCAACGTATAGTGCTTTGACGACCTTAGCTTGTCCGCAGCTATAGTACATGATTACATTTAGATAAAATAAAGTGTTCCTTAGATAAATCATCCCAATATCTGCTCTACTCCTGTAGAGGTTACTATAATTAGGCAATAGGTTGGTGGCCACATTAATGATATATTCAGGATGTTCCTACTTATCACCTACTTCCATTAAATCAAAGCTACGTGCAATGATAAGTTTTCTTTAAACAAATTATAACAATGACAATGACAATTTTGTCAACTAATAGGGTACATATACTTCGGATTTCATAATATTTTGTACACCTCTAGACTATTCCCCGATAACTTGTAGGGGGTGGGTGGGCGCCCGCTATGTCCACAGCTATTCCTCTTATCAGGAAAATCAGCCATCAGCATGACCAGCCAAAAAAATTCAATAACAAAACATGAAAGAGCCTACTAGTTCGTGGGGGACAGACACGTCACTCGGCGATTGAGTGCGGCAAACAAAATACTCTTAATAGCGTTCCAGAAACATCCGACTCTTAGTTGTGAAATCGAAAAAGGTACTCGTGTGTACACCTTCTATATACCCAGTATGCTACGAGTATATGTATTTATGTTCTCACATATACATACGTATGTATGTAGGTATATGGTATAGAAGGTAAAACCCCTAGAACTTACTCATTTGCATAGAATTTGGAAATACACTGAATCATGGGAAATAAAAAAACATAAACAATGGAAGTTCGCCAATAACTGGTTTTTGGTTGATTCAAGAAAGAGCCGGCCAAAATTGTAGCGTAAAATGTAGAGAAAGGTCACAGCAAACCAAGAGAACCAGTTGGACAGCATTCGAATAGGTATGCGTCACAGGTCCCCCTCTGGTTCCCCAAACAAAAAAGGAAAGAAACAAACCTAAACTAAAGAGTCTCACTGCCGAAAGAGATACAGAAATAAAGAGAATTCATCTTTGGAAGAGAAACGATGGAAGCCTAAAAAGCTTTAGATAGTACAAGTTCAGTGTATATTAACATAGGGAGAGGAATATCATTAAATCCGGGTGCTTTACTGTTTGATCTTCGTAGTTACTTAGAATTAGCTCTACTAGGGCATAGATAAGGTCTTTATGGTATTCCTACAGTCATTAATAGACAATAGATTATTAATCCTTGTGGGGATACATGGATAAAAAGTATATAGTCCCGAAAAAAAATTCCCTTGGAGACATAAATACCCATTTGTGTGTGCCCCAAAAGCTTTCCCCGAAAAAACCAAACAATAATTCATGCTCACCATGACAAGCACTTTTCCATACAAACATCGGTTACTTCCACATACATACAATATCAAACAAATGAAATCAGTAATATTGTACTATATATATAGATGGTTCTGCCTGTCCCAAGTCAGTATACTTTTTCCCCTCCAGCGAGCAACACAGCTAACAATCTCATTTCTCAACATGGATTTCTATTATTTGCCCGGTGGAAGTGGTTGCCGTACTGTCATCATGACGGCCAAGGCTCTGGGAGTGGAGTTGAACAAGAAGCTCTTGAACACCATGGCGGGAGAGCAACTGACTCCCGAATTCATTAAGATCAACCCCCAGCACACCATTCCCACTCTGGTGGACAACGGATTCGCCATTTGGGAGTCGCGTGCCATCGCCACCTACCTGGTGGAGAAGTACGGAAAGGACGACTCCCTCTACCCCAAGGACCCCCAACAACGTGCTGTAGTGAACCAGCGTCTCTATTTCGATTTGAGCAGCCTATATGACGCCTTTGCCAAGTACTACTACCCAATTTTCCGCACTGGAAAGCCCGGCGACGCTGAGGCATGGAAGAAGGTAGAAACCTCCTTTGAATTCCTCAACACCTTCCTGGAGGGACAGACTTACGTGGCTGGCAGCCAGCTAACCGTGGCTGACATTGCCATCCTGTCGACTGTCTCCACATTCGATATAGCTGAATTCGATTTGAAGAAGTACCCGAATGTGGCCAAGTGGTACGCAAATGCCCAGAAGGTGACTCCCGGCTGGGAGGAGAACTGGGAAGGTCTCCAGCAGCTGAAGAAGATGATCGAGGACATGAAGGCCAAGGCAAAGGAAAACTAAAATTAATTCTATAATTATATTTTATTATATTATATTATATTATATTATTATATATTATAATTATTATATTAAAAAGTACCTAAGTTCTCATGTACCTACATGCATTATTGGTTTATATTTGGGTCATCGTAGAGTGGGCTCTGATCTTTTCCCGAAAGATGGCTTTTTACTATATGGATTTTGATTATTTTCACAACTTTACCATACGCTGTAACTGACCCAAAACATCAAACACCCTTGAAGACTCATCGTTCGAGTGGAACGCGATCAGATAAAGATAAATAGTGCGATTGGAAAAATGTTTACAAAGTTACTGATTGGAAAAATTTGATAGTAGGCTATCACCATCAATCGTAATGGCAAAACGAGGGGGAAGATTGTGAGTTGTTGCTACGGCCGCAACTCTACATTTACACCCATTGCAAGACAAAGAGTGTGCAATGGTGAATGAAGTACATACATACCCAATGGTGCTAGAATATGTGCTAACATTTTCGATTGTTCTGAAAAGGACATAAAGAAAAGGATACAGACAAAAATTTAGCATGAAGAAAATTCTCGTTCTAGAAGGACAAACTGGTACAGTAGTGATTGGTCTTGAGATGCAAAGTGGTTTTCAGTTGTCAAGATTGAAAAGTCTGAACATTTGTCCTTAAATCCTTCTTGTATGTGTAGAAGAAACACTTTAGCCAGTTAACTAATGTGATTCCATTATGGGATTATTATTAATAAATTTTTTCTTAAGAGTTCACAGCTAGGCAAGATTATAAAAAAATACCATCGCAAAGCAATGTATGTATGTTTGTTGCTAATGGTCATAAATAAAACATTTTTAATCATAAATGATATACAAATGTACACCGCAATCTTAATATATGTAAATGTAAACATATATAATCTCAATACAATTTGGTATAAAAGGGACTTGCTCTGACAGCAAAAATTCAGTTGAATTTCTTTCTCTCTCGAGTAAAACCGTACAATCGCGATTCCTAATATGGATCTCTACTACATGCCTAGCCCCGGGGCCAGTCGCGCTGTTATCATGACAGCCAAAGCTGTCGGCGTGGAATTCAACAAGAAAGTCGTCGTGAATGCCTTTGAGGGGGACCACTTGAAGCCGGACTTCGTGAAAATCAATCCACAGCACACCGTTCCCACCCTCGTAGACAACGGATTCGTCCTTTGGGAATCGCGTGCCATTCTCATTTATCTGGCTGAGAAGTACGGCAAGGATGACTCCCTCTACCCCAAGGATCCTCAAAAGCGTGCTGTAGTGAACCAGCGTCTGTTCTTCGATTTGGCCACCCTTTATGACGCCATTTCCAGCTACTACTACCCGGCCTTTAAAACTGGAAAGTTTGGGCCCCCTGAGGCGTGGAAGAAGATCGAAAATGGATTTGAGTTGCTCAACACCTTCCTGGAGGATCAGGAATACGTGGCTGGCAGCAACCTAACCATTGCGGACATTTCCATTCTGGCTACCATCTCCACGATCGAAGTGGTGGACTTCGACTTGAAGAAGTATCCGAATGTGGCCAGGTGGTACGCAAACGCAAAGAAGGTGACCCCCGGCTGGGATGAGACCTCGCCAGGCCTCCAAATTATGAAAGAATTACTTCAGCCAAAGAAGGCCTAAGAAAAACTCTAATTGTTAGTTAGAATTGTGTTTGTATTTAATAAATACATTAACTACTGTTTGTAGTTATCTAATAACCGTATTTTTCAATTGAACCTCTGGGGGAATATGGATAAAGAATCCGTTTGGAATCTTGAGTATCTTTCAGAAAAGGAGCGACCATGAGAATGGCGATAGTCTGGCTGTTTTCGCCCAGGCCACCTTGGGCGGAGTCTTAAAAAGATATCTTTCTAAATTAGACACACATGAAACATACACATAAAATGTATTGTTTATTTGCCTCTACAATTTTGATAAGAAAGTTTCAGAGTGTCAGCTCTCGGTCATTCAACCTTGGAGTGGCTGATAAACCAATCCGATAACAACAACATTGTTCACTTATACATTTTGGTTGCTAATTGCCGCAAATGTACCATGTTTATACATCAATGACCAACAAATTTCCACAGCAATCTCAAACAAGTTAATATAGATAGATTTGTCACTTTTTGGTACATATTTATACTCGGTTTTGATGACGATAGAGACCTCATTGTGAGCAGATATAAATTTTATCTCAATCAATACTAGAGACGTCATATTTACGTAGCTCCTTCTGTACTATACAACCCTGGAAAAGTTTGCCAGCTTATTACTAATCTGAAGTACGATTATTCTAATATTCAACTGGTAATATGAATGAATGTCACATCAAAATGTATATTGCCAAATGAACTCAAAAATGTTTATATGTACCAAATGTATTTGATAATGAATTCAAATCTCAATTGTGATTTCAAACAATGACCATCATTTTTTGCTAAAAGTCAAAACAAAAAACGTAGATAATTTCAGATGGGTTTAGCTATATAACTGAGTGCTGCGGCGGTTTTCACATTAGTTCACTTTCAGTCAGTAGCAAAAAAGGTAGTTTATTCGCGAGCATCAGCATGGACCTCTACTACTTGCCTAGTCCCGGACCCAGTCGGGCCGTTCTCATGACAGCCAAGGCTGTGGGTGTGTCCTTGAACAAAAAGCTTCTGAACATCAAATTGGGAGAGAACCTGACGCCGGAGTTCTTGAAAATAAACCCACAGCACACTATACCCACACTCGTTGACAACGGCTTCGTCCTTTGGGAGTCGCGTGCCATCCTCATTTATCTGGTTGAGCAGTACGGCAAGGATGACTCCCTCTACCCCAAGGATCCTCAAAAGCAGGCTTTGATCAACCAGCGACTCTATTTCGATATGAACACCATGTACGACGCCTTTGCCAGCTACTACTACCCCATTTTCCGAACTGGCAATTACGGCGACGCTGCAGCTTGGGCGAAAGTGGAAAATGCTTTCACGCTTCTCAACACCTTCCTGGAGGGTCAGGAATATGTGGCTGGAAGCCAGCTAACCATCGCGGACATTTCCATTCTGGCTACCATCTCCACGATCGAGCTGGTGGACTTCGATCTAAAGAAGTATCCGAATGTGGCCAGATGGTACGCAAACGCGAAGAAGGTGACTCCGGGCTGGGAGGAAACCGTGGAAGGCTTATACTCAAGGAAACACATCTTTGATGAAAAGAAACCGGAATTCAAGTGAAATGACAAGCTTTTCTTATGCTTTTAGATTATTTTATTTGTATTAAATAAATTAAAAAATTAGAAAATGTGAAACGAAATATTTTAACTATATATTTTTACATCTTAACATTCTTGATTAGGTTTAATAAGATATAAAGTCCTTGTCTCTCAACAAATATTTACCAGTGACTCGAGCAAAATGGGGTTGCTTGCAGGCCACTAGTTTGTATTGAATGTTTTACCTAATTTAATCTATTTTTGGACACTAATCGATATGAAGCCAACGGTACGACATGATATGAAGCCAGTACTAATTTTGATTACTCATGCTCTCCATATGTTCCTATCGATTTCTATGATTCTGACGTCAGGTTGTGAAATAATATTCCCCATTCTCCCCTTCTGCTTACTATTATTTTTGTATACTTTAAATGTACTCGTAATTACACTTGGAGAGGGTACGAGAATGTACTACGTTCTTACCTGGTCATTAGCCGAGGACCTATAATTATGCACAATCATTATAATCGCCCTTCTGGAAGGGGAATACTCTTTTGTTAATCGCATACCATATAAATGGTGGCATAACGAATCTTTGGATCACTAGAAAAAGACGCCTTAACTTTGAAAACATTTAGGGGTAAAAAAAAAGGAAATAACACTTTCGGAGTGTTTGAAAAAAAACTCTCATTTATGGATACGCTGAGATAAGAGACAGAAAAGACTCGATCAAATCTGTTTTTGCTCAACTCGCTCAAGCAGAGACCTCTTGCACCTCTCTTTTGTTACAGTTTTTCACTCAGCATTTTGTCGCGAGCCAAAGAAAAAAGTGTCTTTAGCGTATGTATTAGGGCTTATAGGTTTGGTGCATATATCAACGATCACTTGCCTCACTATAGGCCCTTAAATTTAATTGAATTTAGAATGGGTATAACCTCCATTATCATCACATCTCTTCTTGATCATATTTGTTCAGTTTCCAGAAAATTTGCGAATGTATTAAAATATAAATATCACAAAACAATAACCCAATAGATGCGGAAAACATAAATAAATAAACATAAACCCAAAAAAAATCTTCACTCAGACACTTTTTTGGTTCTGCTCATCAACTGATCGTAGAGACACGATCGTGCGTCGGCTCAACCGAAAGCACAACCGAAGAGAGAAAAAGTGTTCTGCTCAGTGAGAGACCGTGTATGCGTGGTCTTTTTCTGTCAGACAGCAAAGGGGAAAAATGGCATATGGTATATACATATGTACATACATAGATACCGTACATTAAAATAAGCTGGAGGCACAACAGAAGACAGAAATCGCAAAGAAAACGAAGAGAGCCCCCAATCTCATATTTTTGTCAAAACATAATGATGGTCTCTCTGCGTTTGGCTCATGATGACGTCGCGGTAGCCGAACGCTAGACCCGAAGTCCCTGGGACCCAGTTCTGTTAATATTAAATAAAAATTAAATTATTTAAAAACAAATGTCAGAGCTAGTACTTGTAAACTACAATGAGGCAGGAATAAATTATCTATCCATTAGCCACTTAATGTCCATACCAAAGCAAATACTTAATTGCAATCAAATGTTATCATCCCAACGTATAAAATGTGGCAAGTGCGAGTATGCCGATCGATATGATTTCGGGTGCCTCGGACCTTAGCTATAAAAGCTAGTCGTTTGATTTTAAACGTTCAGTAGCAGAACAGTTTCTGGAGGTCACACAAGCGGCACGTTCTTCATCATGGATTTCTACTACCACCCGGGCTCGGCTCCTTGTCGTTCCGTCATGATGACGGCCAAGGCGCTGGGAGTTGACCTTAACCTGAAGTTTGTCAATGTGCTGGAGGGGGAGCAGCTGAAGCCGGAGTTTGTACAGCTGAACCCCCAGCACACAATTCCCACCCTCGTGGACAATGGATTCATAATTTGGGAGTCGCGAGCCATCATGATTTACCTGGTGGAGAAGTACGGCAAGGACGACCACTCCCTCTATCCCGCAGATCCCCAGAAGCGGGCTGTGATCAACCAACGCCTCTACTTCGACATGGGCAGCATGTTCGAAAGCTTCTATCAGGCTATCTTTCCGCAGATACGTGACAAGACGCCAGCAAATCCAGAGGCAATGCTGAAAGTGGATAAGGCCTTTGGGCTGTTGAACACCTTCCTGGAGGAGGATGATTTTGTTGCTGGAGCTAGCCTGACTGTCGCCGACATCGCCATTCTGTCCTCTGTGTCGACATTCGAGGTGGTTGACTATGACATCAGCCAATATCCGAATGTGGCCAAGTGGTACGAGAAGGCCAAGGAGGTGACCCCAGGCTGGGAGGAAAACTGGGAGGGTGTAGTGCTGCTCAAAAAGTTCATGCAGTCCAATCGCCAGTAAGAGTGATATGCAGAAATGATCATACTGTCAAATATACTTACATATATATTCTCTGATATACTCGTTATAATTATTTCCGCTTCTGTAATACAATTATATATATGTAATTACATATGTAATGGGTTGGGATAGGTCGGGATATTTGACCTTTCAAGAGCGTAGTATTTTGATATTAGCATTTAGTTTTGCAAAATTCCGTTATTGAACCTTCTGAACTCTCTAAACGTTCTCTAAAAAACTCTCGCTGCAATCAGTATGGTTCCCCACGACAAAGAGTGCACACCGAAAGTTTCAGTGTGATATCACAGGTCTGGATACAAAATTTTGATGCTCTTTGATACCTAGGCGTCAAACAAGACAGTCAGACGGATACACAGACATGGCTCAATCGACTCGGCTTTTGATTCTGATCAAGAATATATATACTTTATGGGGTCGGAAACGTTACCTTCTAGGCGTTACAGAATCTAACAAAAAATATACATACATATATGTACATACGAGGAAAAAAAGCGACTGAAATTCTTTTGTCGATGCGAGCCGAGCCCGACAGTTCAGTAGCCCTGAACATGACCTTGAGTTGGCATTAATTGGTTGTTAATCCCCTTTTAGAAATTCATTGTGTATTCAGAAATGACCAACAAACAATTATACTAAGAAGAAAGATCTTTAATTTAAAAAATGAACAGCAAGTATTAAGAATTGTTGTAAATTAATATCTTTACATTTCAGTGGATGTGCGTAGCGCCCAGAAGAAAGCGTTTTCAACCCCATAAAGTACATATGTATGTATATATATTCTTGATCAGTATCAATAGCCGAGTCGACTGAGCCATGTCTGTTTGTCAGTCTGAATGTTCGTCTTGTTAAGCGTCTTTTTTTACTCCTAGGTCTCAGAGACTATAAGAGATTCTTGTGATAACACACTATTAGAAATGTTTTTAGCGAAATTCTCATCACTTTCTAAGCTCTCCAGATGGGGTTCCACCATTACTTGCCACTCTAAGCGCAATCCATCTAATTGACATTGATCAGAAAAGTGAGATTGTACACTTGTTAGTAGCTATGGGAATTCCAGTTGCCGGGCACGACTTTTCCACATTGCAATCGCAATAAAGTTGAATGCACGCGATGATTATCCCCTCCCATAAATCTCCCCGTCTCTACAGTCCCCGGACCGTGCTGCGGCTGGGCCATTGACCGACTGTTCGACGATTAGAACATTCGCAAGTTTAGTTAAGTAACAAACGTGCACCTTGTGGCATTGAACACACACACACACACACAGTTACATATGCCAGCGGTTCACATACTTTACAATGCTCACTGTGCCATAAAAGCTGTGAGAGGGCTGCGTGATAAGTTTGCGCTGGAGCCCAGGTCAGGGGGAAGGCAAATGGTCGAATGATCGCCCCCAGTGACAATTAAAAGTAAAATGGTTTTTTGATGACCACATTAAAAGTACATTTTTCATTTCATTTAATTAACGAGCGAACAATAAATCTAAAACCCTCCGGCCCTTCCAGCACTTACGTTGCATTCCACCTAGCTGGACTCGGGCTCCACAAGCTTCTGCAGTTGCCGATACTTGCGGATGGCATTCCGCACGAATTCTGTGGCACGTCGCACCCGCTCCGGAGTCATCTCATCGGCAAGCATGCGGCCCACATCCTGGGCTCCGCCCGTGCGCAGGATATCCACTGCCTTGGCGGGTATATCACAGATGGGGGTCATCCGGCACAGAGCATTGGTGATGGCACTTCCGAACAGTATAATTCCGACGGCGGAGAGCACCACAGCGGCGATGCGGAACAGCGTGGACATCAGGATGGTCGGCAGCAGCTTGGAGGCAAAGGCTATCAGAGGATTGTTCGAAGAGTATGACTCTGAGGCAGGTGCCACCACAGCGGTGGTGTCTGCTTGGCCAGCGGCATTTGCGGGCACCAGGAAACCCTCATAGCCGGTCTGCACCACAATGGGACCCGGATAGGGATAGAGGCCAGGCGCTCCAGCGGATATCGGAGCTGGGTAGCTGCCCCCAAAGGGAGCATACGCAGCGGCTCCGTACTGGCTCAGATACTGCTGGAATGCCTCCGGTGTGATGAGTCCGCCTGCATAGATGGTTGTGGGATCGATTGAGCTGGCACTGGCTTCATTATCGGGCTGCAAGCGAAATGGGGAGGATCATCATTTAGGTCACACTCAAGTACTTAGAGAACTTACCGGCGATGGTTCAGAAGACTCTGCCACCTGTGGGCTTGTCTCATTGCTTTTGGTGTTGCTGTTGGGAAGAGGAATCTCCCCCTGTAAGGGCCTTCCCTCGGGCAGCTTGTCACTCTCGTCGATGGTATTTGGTGTGGCTGCCGGGGGTGTCGCGTCCAGTGCTGGCACACAGAGTGCTCCTCGAATCATCAGCAGCAGGAGCAACACCGAATGGTTTTGGCATTGTATGCGTAACATTTTCATCACTTGGTCTTCGGCTATCGACTGATCCTGCTGCGTGTCCTGGCTGGGCTCTTTATAGGCTCGCATTCGCTCAGACCTTCTGAGGCCTTTTTTCTTACATTATTTTGCAATTTATGTCACATTTTCCGGGAATTTAATTCCAGAATAATGTCCCTTTTCCAGAATCCTCCCAAATGAGCCATTGTTTCATTTACCTGTCGGTTCAATACAGGTAGATGATCCAGCGGCCCTGAGATTCCGGGGTAATCCTTACAGTGCTGGCCATAATTACCGACCATGTCCTTCAACGGCCCTCACAAGAAACCAGCACGCGATGAGGACGTGACTGAGTATGTATCTTGATTGTAAAACCCTAAAATTTCAAGTGATGCCAATCAAACACTGTCCATTCGAGTGGCTCCCCAACTCCCAGGCCGAGACCCGCTATAAGGTGCATTGAATTGGAAACTTTGTTAGCAATCAATAAAAAATAAACGAAACATAGCTTGGGAAAAATTATGTAGTCGTATAATTTTAGACACGAACGGGAATATTTTGACCGAGTTTCGGCACCAGCACGCCCCCCGCTCACGCCCACCGCTCACGGACACAGCGGACAGGTGAACACACATAAGGAGAGGCCCATGGAAGGGCCAGGACGAGGGTGGGGGTGGTCGTCCCTGGCAACGTTCGCTATGAAAACTAAACGATAACAAAAGCCTCTCAAAGACAACATTTTCTGTAAATTAAAGGCGGCAGACGGCGGATACATCAACGGACAGAGACGTCGGCAAGTTGGCGACAGCCGAGATAGAGCGCGAGATTGCAAAAACTAGCTTCCAACACGGACACTAGCAGCATCAGCTGCAGCCAGGACAGGTCCAGAACCAGAAGCAGAAACCAACGAGGAATCGCTGGCAAAGCTGTGGGGCACAGGCAGTAGAGCTACGCACTTCGCCACACGACACTCGACGGCACACTGGCACACTGGGGAACTGCATAGACATCGACACGGTAGCCGCGGTGCAGCACAAGCTAGTGCACAAGATTGTGTGAGTAGACCGAGACCGGGAGATACTCCCCACCTGCCCCACGGCAAACACCTTCGGTGCATGTTCCATAATGAATAAATAAGTGAGTGCAATTAAAAGACGCGAAGTTTGACCTCAACGGAGCTACGAATGCTGGCATACCCTCTGTACCGTTATTTCCGGAACAGATTTGTCTTTTATTTTGCATTTTTGATAATTTGACATTCTTCTCAGTGGTTTAAGTGGCGCCGCCACAGCGGTCGTTTCTAGAACTTACTTTGAGAGAAGTGCACTCAAAAGATCGCTGCTGTGAAACTCGTAAGATCAGTCCGCATAGCAGCCAAAGTGTTCGATCATTTTGATTGATTTTAAATTAGTTTGGCATGCCGCAAGACATCCTTCAGTAAACTTTAATAAAAAATACATGTACAAAATCGATGCATTGATTTTTTGCCGTTGTCCAGCCCCAGTTTCGGGCCTGGTCAAGTGGTCAATGGGTAGCGTGTTGGCATTTCAGTTTTGGCCAATGACCAATGAGCGACACGAAGCGTATTGTAACCGAATTCGTTTATTGTTTACTGCTCAGCGGTGGAAAAATGTCACCACCCGTGCTGTACTACCTGCCACCCAGTCCGCCCTGCCGCAGCATTCTCTTGTTGGCCAAAATGCTTGGCCTGGACTTTGAGCTGAAGATCGTCAACATACTGGAGGGGGAGCAGCTGAAGCCGGACTTTGTGGCATTGAATCCCCAACACTGTATACCAACCATGAACGATGAGGGCCTGGTCCTCTGGGAAAGGTGAGTTTATACTTATAGCCTTGTACCTTCCAATTACGATAACGTATTGGCCTTGCAGTCGTGCCATTCTTTCGTACCTGGTTGCAGCCTACGGTAAAAGCGATGAACTCTATCCCACGGACATTCGTGTCCGTGCCCTGGTCGATCAACGGCTCCAGTTCGATCTGGGCACCCTCTACATGCGCCTCACTGACTACTATGTGAGTATACATACATATATCATACTTTCGAGGAGTAATATTCGCTTTTTCTAGTTCCCCACAATGTTCATTGGAGCACCGCTGGATGAGGGAAAACGGGCCAAGCTATCAGAGGCTGTGGGCTGGCTCAACACCATTCTAGAGGGCCGACAATTCGCTGCCGCCGAACACTTCACCATTGCCGATCTGACCCTGCTCGTGACCATTTCCCAGCTGGAGGCCTTCGACTTTGAACTGAGGCCCTATAAGCACATCAGGCAATGGCTCGAACGCTGCAAGGAGCACATGGCGCCCTACGACTACGAGGAGCTGAATGGCAGCAAGGCAGTCTTAATGGGCGACATGTTCAAGGCCAAGATCAATCAGGGAGGAGCCTAATATTTGTAGATTCAAGATCAAAATCGTACTATAATAATGTCGTACTCGTAGTTGTTGTATTCAATAAAAGTTATGCTCTATGCACTGTTCAGAATGGTTTTACATCAAGTAAGGATCCAAATCTGTGATAGAAATAGTTTAAACAGTAACGGAATACTTTCATCCCCATTCCCGCCCCAACAAATTAATGCCTTTTATATCGGCCATAACTTTAATTGAGTTTGTCAAATTTTAGTTGAATTTCCAGCTACAATTTGGACAGCAATCCCACGGTGGCTGCAGCTACCCACAAAACAAAAAAATGACGACACACATTTTAAAAATACCTTGACCAAAACAATGCGGAAAGGACCATCGGTGCTCGACATGGCCGCAGGCAAATGTGGGGACGTGTGTGTTTGAGTGGGGACCAGCATCAGAAACTAATCAACGGACTTTGATGGCGACACCCGAGAACCGAGAACCGAGACTTGCAGACAAAAGCAGCATAAAAACCTCAAATGAAATTTAATGGCACGGCAAGGAGAAGGAGCACAGTTGGCTATTTTTAAAACCCACAGCGACAGCCGAGCATCCTCAGCAGCACCGGCAGCCTGGTAGAACGGAAGGCCAACGAATGCTGGCTTCACAGTTTCAATTTGACCGCCGCTGAATATGGTGTCCGCTTGGTTATTAGCTCTGGGATTAGCTCTGACTGCGATTCGGAGCTGCCATGGCCAGCAGCAGCAAGTGGCCGGCAGCAGCAGCAAACAGTCGCAACTGTGGCTGGGTAGGTGTGCAAGAAGGACACCCCAAGGTGCAGGCCACACTCATGCAGTTAATCCTTTGCAGACTGCTCCTGCCTGCATGCCAACGAGCGGAACTCCAGCCATTGGGGCCGGCTAAGCATCAATGCCAGCCAGGCGCTGGGCGCCAAGAACAACTGCCTGATGGTGTTTATTGGTGGCATGGATGATGAGCTGGTTTCCTTTCAGCTTGAGCAGTTGCAGCTGCGCGCCGGGTGAGTAGCAGTGCTTCCGACCTCATTTGGCGACCACAGACCGCGGAGATCATCCACCGGGGGGTGGCTGGGGATGCGGACGCCGGCTGCTGATCGGATCTGCGATGGGCAGCTGTCTGTGACAGCCATCAGAAATCGACAAATATGCCCCATCGATAGATAAAGCTGGCCTGGCCTATCCTGTCCGTCCGTCCACCTATCGGTGGCAAAAGCAGAGCGGGGGGGTAGGGCGCAAACGCCTCGAGAGGCTGTGCTGCTGCAACGGGAAGCGCAACGGCAATGTAATTAAAATACCTCGTGAAGGCCATGTGGGCGGTCCGGTTCGGTGGAGCCGCCGTGGCCACCGGCACGCCTGGTTATTTATATAAATCGAGGGAAATGGTCTCCGCCCGCAAATTTGTGTCAATTTATGCAAAATCCTATGCACACAAACCCATCCTCCCATCCCGTACCCGTGGTAGATTTGCGCCATAAAAATAACGTACACAAATTTCGGAATCGATTTGTCAATAAAATTGGAGAGCACTGGCCACGCAGATCTCAGTGGAGCTTGGACCGAGCGCAGCGCCGTACGTATGAGCAATTTTTAAAGTGCAGTGAATCGCGGGTGAATCGCAAGAGTCGCCAAGGAAGAACGTACGTTTCGACGGTCTTCCGGTTACCTTTAAACGGATTTAACAAATGAAAGTTAATTGAGTTAATTCGCGGGCAAAAAGCTAGTGGAATTTAAGCATTGAAATTTTATTTGTGAAATACTATAAAATCGGAGGCTCAAAATGTCTATGGACCCAACAGTTTCCTTGGAGGATCTGGACCGCGTGAGTGAATACGATGAACCCAGATCAATGGGTATCGCAATGGCAGTAAATACCCCTTCATTTCCGACTGCAGCGTCGACGCCGCGCCAGCTCTGCCCGGAAGGCGTCACAGACTCCCCAACCGCCGCCCCATTTGGCCGACTCGGAGGCCATGGCCGTGATCAATGAGATATTCAATCCGTCGCTGAAGCTGCCCGAAAGTAGTGGCCACTACACACTGCCAGAGGAGATGAGCGCCGACGATGATGTGGCGCCCCACGAGCTGGACATTTCGAAGCTGGCGGAGCTGAAGGAAGTAAGTCTGCAGCGGGTACTGAATACTGACTGAATGGATTGTCGCCAAAGGTTTTCGCGCTCTTCGACACGGACTGCGATGGCCTAATATCGAAGGATGATCTGCGTTTCACCTACACCGCCCTGGGCAATGATCCCAACGAGCAAGTCCTGGAGCAGATGATGCTGGAGGCCAAGGAACCGCTTGACTACGAGGCCTTTGTCCGTCTGATGTCCCGACGCACACAGGAACTGGACCCCGAGGAGGTGCTGCTAGAGGCATGGAGCAAATGGGATGACCATGGCACGGGCCTGATCGAAGAACGCAAGTGTGTGCGCCGAGTGATTCCACAACAAATTAAGCATTCCATACCCTTCCGCCATCTCTAGAATCTACGAGGAACTGACCAACTATGGCGACAAAATGAGCCTCAACGAGGCTAAGGAGGCGCTGAGTCATGCGCCCATGGCCAAGCCCAAGTCCCTGGAGGAGCCGCCGATGATCGATTATCCAGCCTTTTGCCGCATGCTCGGCGGAATGCGCAAACGGAAAGGGAATTAACATTGAATGGACATCGAAACAATCAGAATGGGAGCATGCCAGTGCCCCGAAAATATGTATATTTTAGGAGTTTTTGTTTCCAACAAACTGAATGGTTTTTCGAGAACACAGGACTTATCGTTTACCCCCTTAACTTTCCCATCAGATAATGGAAATCTAAAACTTTCCCAATAGCCAATAGTCCCCAATTTGTTGTAGCTATGTATGTAGGAGGGACTGCCTTTCCCCAATCAATTTGGAACCTCCAAAGATATTGGAAACTACTCGAATCTCTGCTCGAACGGCAGCTGTCTCAATATCGCAATCGAATAACTCTTACCGCCAACTTTTGTTCGACTTTGCATCAAAATAAATTGTGAAGAACCAAAAGAGCGATGGGAATTATTTTCTTAATGGGCATTGGGCCGCTTGCGAGGGGATATTTATAGGCTAGCTGACCAACGAGCCAGCCCCAAAAGTATCGGCCAATAAATTTTAGACATCGTTACGCATCTGCCTTGGGCCAGGCGAGCGGCAACAAATTCCTCCATCTTTTTTTCTGTATTTTTTTGAATGCAATTTCGTGACAGGTGCTTGGACAGCGTTGAGGTCTTTCCGTATCTGCGCGAGCCCGTCATCGAGAACTCAACACTGCCGGCGGACACTTTCTGCCAGCACAGCAAGAATCGCAGTTCCACCACGCCTATTTATAGCGCGGGCCGACTGCTGGGACTGCGTCTGCGGTTCCAGCATCCGCCGACAAAGTTGGACAACTGGAGCCTGAACCTAACGGCCAGCTATCGGTTTCTGAAACGAGGTGAGTTCCGCCAGTTCTTGACCGATCTGTGGATCATTTTCCGCATCTCTTTTTGGCCAGATAACTTCAAGACGGAGGGCCGCCTGGTGCCGCACAGCTACTGTGACTTTTACTTCTTTGCCAGCCTGGCGGACGACGTGGGCAGCTTGGGGCAGGGCTACTTTCACTCGCCCCGCTTTCCCGCCCACTATCCGGCACACATCAAGTGCGCCTACAAGTTCATCGGGCGTCCCGATACCCGTGTGGAGATCGTTTTCGAGGAGCTGCAACTGCCGCCGGTGCTCAGCGGCGGCTGTCAACTGGATGCCCTGACCATCTTCGATGCCGAGTCCGCCCACATGAACGCCGTACTGGATGTCCTCTGCACGCCCTGCCCCACGCGTCGACTCGTGAGCAGCGGACCCGATATGCTGCTCGAGTTTAATGCCAGCTCGAACCGCACGGCCAAGGGATTTCGCGGCAAGTACAAGTTTGTGACCAACGGACAGGGGGGGCTGCCGTTGGCCCTGCCACCCCCCGCAGCACCCATTCTGGAGGCGGCCAGTGTGGCAGCTAAGCAGCAGGAGAAGCTGCAGCATCAGCAATCGTCGTCGTCGGCGGCCAGGGTGAACAGTCTTCAGGCGGATGCAGAGCTGTCGAAGCCCGGACGTTCATTTGGTGAGTTGGCGCCTCATATATTAGCCAAAATTAGAGCCTTGCTTGGGGGGGGCGCACACCCTCGAACCCCCTCTGGCATAGCCAATCGAATTATGCTAATCGTTGGCAAATGGCGGCAAAACTTATCTGCTACTCCACGACGCCGTTCGACAGCTTCCGTCTGTCTCAGGCGGCATCCTCGAACGGAAGCGGATGTGGCCAATCGACATGGCCTCCTGAGTGGAGGGACGCCTGGCTGCTGGTTCCTGGAGTCTGTCAGTCTGCTTCGAGCTCTCGTCGCGTTCAAATGGTGCTTCTGTCGCTATTTTTGCAGCTCCTTCTGGTGCTGCTCGGTTCGATACGCCAATCGATGGCCTCCTGTGCTCCATTGCCCGCCAGTGAGTCTCGTACTTAAAGTATTTTGGCCAAAACATTTATTTAACTCTAAGAACAATTAACCTACTATTTGTGTGTGCATATGTGAGTGGGTGTGGTTGTCCTCGCCTAGAAGCTAGATACGACCTTCAGTAGAGACCACAAGAGAGCCGCAGCGCCGCTGCACAGAGTCAACTGCAAAATCCGGTGCAAAACTAGGAAGCTGTGAAAGCGAGAGATATAGTATTATGGGACTCTTGGGAATTTATGGGATTTTTGGATTAGAAAATTGAACGCACCGAAAGAGAATCTTCTTGCCTCGCACTATGGAGGTGGGCTGTTCCTTGCCCAAGTAGATCCGAATGCCGTACAATGCCTGCCTAAAGTAATCGTCCCAGTTTAGACCCCGCATATTGAAGTCGAATAGATTCTGATCCAAAGACGACATTCGCTTCCACAGACGCTGAGTGTTGGACGTGTCAAACTTCCACGTGGTGTCCACAAACGGAGCAAGGACATTGATGTTCTTGTGTATCTTATCGTAGAGCTTGATCATGCGAGGCTTCTGGCCACGTAATCGGAGCACCACATCGATGGCATACCCAGGCACCAGATGATAGAAGTAGGCCACCAGCCGAAACAGCCACGGGGTGGTGGTGCAGTGCAGAAACGGACACCACATCATCTTGGTCAGTGGATAGTTGTGCACCAGATTCTGTGCCCTATCCCGGAAGCCGCCCCAGGTGATCAGGTTCTCTTCGCTGGGTGTAAAGTTGTAAATGACCGGATCCCCTGGCGGCTTGGCGTCTATCGCCGTCTGCCAGACAGTGGCCAACGCCATGGAGGAAGCATAGTCGACTGGCACAATTCCAGCCTGAGCCTTCACATTGAGACGAGTGATCCGCAAGACCCCAAAGGCAACTCCATAGAGCACGGCAATGGGGCCGTACAGGTTGTCGATCCAACCCGGCATCGGCTCCTTGTAGCTGGCAATGACTGTGGGTGGAAAAAGAGGGAGGATATAAAAGGGCATCACTTGCCGAGCTGGCAACACCTACTAACGCCAGGCCGATAGACGCACAACGGAATGTCCCCCGCCTCCCGTTGGATCACCTGCTCCGCCAGAGCCTTGGTGTATGTGTAGGTGTTGGGATACTTGCCCATCAGGGCGGGCGCCATGTTGTCTATCAGTTCACCTTCCAGCCACTCAGTGAGCTCCAGGACCTGGTTGGCCGAGCAGGTCAAGTGCTCCGGATAGAACTTCTCCTCGATTTTCTCCACCACGCAGTTGGAGTAGGCGGTGGAGATGTGGACAAAAGCCTCGAGGCGCTGCATTTGCTTTGCCAGCTGCAGCATGAGGCGGGCGGCCCGCGTATTGATGGCCAGTGCTATGTGCAGGGGCTCAGTGAAGCGTACTGTGGCAGCGCCGTGCAAGACCAGCTGCACCTCCTCAATCAGCAGCTTCCTGTCTTCAGCCCCAAGGCCCAGATCTGGCTCCTGGCAGTCGCCCTGTATGGGCGCCACTCGCTGCATTGCCTTGGGTTGCGTTTTCAGTAGTATTTCGAACACCTTCGGAACGGAACCCAATGCTTCGGATTATTCGGATTAGGGGCCCTTGGGATCAACACAGGATTACTCACTGGATCGCTCTCCCAGGCAACGAGGCGCTCCTTTATCTCCTGGCCATTCTTGGCTCTGATCAGCACATAGATCCGCTTCACCTCTGTTATGCGGAGCAGCTTCTCAATGGTCACTACAAAAGACAAAAGGCAAACTTGAATTTGATCTGTTTACGATTGCTTTCGATTGATGGCCTTTCCAGCCGGTTCTGAGCGCCTTTTTTGGGTGGTATCTCATTGTTTACTTGCTCGAAACATGCATGGTATGTCATATAAAAACGTTAATTTATATTATGTCATATCCCTCAGAGTGAAATCTTCGAACTTTGATATTTTCATATGAAAACATAGTATTTTGTTTCACGTGCTGAGAAAAAAAAAATATCCCCCTTCACAATAAACAGTATCCGGATATACGGATTTGCCTGGGCAAATATATCACAAAAAGTTCATAAAGTTCATATTTTAATTGCATATTTTGTTTTCAGAGAGTAATTATTTTTAAACAGATCCAAAGGTGGGAAATACCTTTTCCTAAGAATCCACTGCCACCTGTTAGCAACATGGTCTTGTCTTTATAAAACTTTTGCATTTCCGACATTGCGATAGTACGATCCTTTCTTTATATGGGGATGCACAAACACAAACACACACATATACACGTATACACTAAAAGGCACTTTCGTATCCGTATTCCGAGGTCCGAGAGATGATACCTGATCGCGACTGATGCTTGAATGAGAGTTGTCTAGAATTTTCACCCGGTATTTATAGCGATCCGCTGATCGGGAATCGCTGATCGAAGAGCAACAAAGCCAAAAACAAAGCGAAGCACATTCATTATATTATATTATTATAGGTTGTTTCCAACACACGCACAGACAGAGACTCGTAAAATATATGTGCCATAAAGATGTTCATATTTAACAATATTGGTGAGGAAGGCACAGAAACAAAAACTGCATACGAGTATTCTTTTTCCCCCTTAGTTAGGGGCTGGTGCATTTGGGGCCTCTATGCCCTGACCCGGCTTAAACAAATAGAAATTATAGCTTGTTGGCTGTGGGGAAAAGATCCGCTCATGTGCGGATTTTCATGGTTGGTGTCAAGTGGCATTGCGGCCTTTTGAACCCAATGCGCGCACTCCATGCCAGACCCAAATTAGCTGGACCTGCCCATTTGCCTAATTGGAAAACGTTGTTACTTTGGCCCATTGCCGGGTCTGTAGTACCTCAAAATGGGCCTGACAAATGGCGAACAAAACCCGGTAGTTCTATAGAAAGCAAATAAGCACTCGAACACGAATGGCATATGAAGAGTGAGTGTGAGTGTTCCGCTCCCGTAATTCTGAAGAAAACTGTGTCTTTCGCCTTATAAATACCTCACCCATAGACTAGCCCATAAACATAAACTAGAATAAACATTGAACTTGCACAATCATTTGCATAAAAGGTATTCGGACAGACCACGCAGGGAATGGAATATAAATTATCAATGAAAATACCATTATACTGCATACTATTACAACGTTTTGTTTTTCTTTCTATATATTATTCAAAATCTCTACCGTCTGTTATATGAGCCTCCATTAATAGAATATACCCTGGGCTATTTACGAGTACCGAGTGTACGAATTTCGCAAGCTAACCAAACAAATACTATACCTTTGAACGTAGTGTTAGATCTTACATCAGACCCTTAAAGTGCTCTGTTGTGTTATGAAAAAAAGGTAATATTTTATCCTGAAATTGCCAATAATATTTATTCTTTCCTGACATTCTGAACAACAATTGAATGCACTTTTAGTGGCATCTAAATCTGGATAATTATTGCCAGATCGTGAACAGGAGCCACAGCACATATGCTGCACCAGAGCCAAGCAGAACTTGACCTATCGAATGTAGTACACGGTAGCTGCAAGCACAGAACATAGATAGATTCGAGTTGGACAATTGTGTTGCAGAAGACTACGTACCGAAATAGAACCCGGATTCCGTCCGCCAAGGAGGCTGCCGTAGCTGGTTCCTTGAATATATATAGTCGCATACCTCCCCAAATATTCTTGAAATAGTCGTCCCAGTCGAGGGATTTCATATCAAAGTTGAACCCCTTTCGATCTTCCGGTGACATGTGGTCCCACAGCGCTTCAGTATTATCCCTGTTAAACCAAAATGTTTTCCTATTGAAGAAGAACAGAGCCTCCACGTTTGCGTGGGCTTTGCGATAGGCTTTGACCAGACGCGGTTTCTTGCCACTCAGCCGCAGGATGAGATCGAAGAAATAGCCGGGAATATAGTGGTAGAAGATGCTGCAAATCCTAAACAGCCAAGGGCATGTGGTGGAATGTACAAACGGGTACCAAATCATCTGTCGGATCGGAACCTGCTTGCCGTAAAACATGCCCTTGTTTCTGAAATCATTCCAGTCTATCGTATTTGTCCTGCAAGGTGCAAAATTATAAATGGTGGGCTTTGGCTTAATAGCTGTAAGTGCCGATTTGGTTTTTGCTTTCTTTGCCGTTTCCCAGGCGCTGGCCACAGCCAGGTTAGCACAGTAATCGCCGGGCACCAAAACCGCTTGAGCCTTTATATTACAAAGCAATATGTGCAGGACTCCGTAGGTAATGCCGTATATTAGGGCCACGAGTCCGTATGGATTGTCAATCCAACCGGAAGAAGGCTCCTTGTAGTTGGCATATACTATCGTTGGAAAAAGAACGGGTGAGGGGCTATTGAAGGGACACTGGATTAAGAGGCATGCATCACTTACTAATGGCTGGCCGAAAGATGCACACTGGTAGGTCACCCGCCTCCTCTTGGATCACCTGCTCTGCCAGGGCCTTCGTGTAGGTGTAGGTATTGGGGTACTTTCCCAGCAAGGCAGGCGTCATGTTGTCCAACAGCTCGGCGCTCACGGTCTCCCTCAGGCGCAGCACCGTATCGGCGGAACAGGTTAAATGCTGCGGATAGAACTCCTCGTTAATGCTGTCTATCACGCAGTTCGAGTAGGCTGTGGAGATCTGCACGAAGGCCTCCAAGCTGTGCATTTCCTTGGCCAGCTGCAGCATGAGGCGCGTGGCCCGCGTGTTGATGGCCAGCGCCATATGCATGTCCTCATTGAAGCGGACAGTGGCTGCTCCGTGAATGACAATCTGCACTTCTTTAGCCAGCATCTTTCGATCCGCCTCACTGATACCTAGATCCGGCTCCAGGCAATCTCCCACTATGGGTGTCATCCGCTGCAAGACCGTTGGCTTAATCTTCAGCAGTGACTCGAAAATCTTGAACAGGAAGGGAGGCCGTTAGTTCAAGCGGTTCAAATGCGACTTTTGGTGGGCTACTCACTGGCTGGCTGAGCCATTGGGTAACGCGAGTGCGCACATCCTCGTTTTTCTTAGACCTGACCAGGAAATATATTTTCTTTGGATCTGTCGCTCGTAAGATTTTTTCAATAATCACTGAAAATCAAAAGGTACAATGGGTTACTCTTGTTTCCATCCAGTCCTTGCAGCGCACCTTTGCCCAAAAATCCAGTGCCGCCAGTTACGAATATCGTCTTGTCCCTATAAAAACGTTGCACTTCTGTTTCCATTTTGCGTGTGATTTTGCAGAAAGCTAATCCAGTCGTGTGCTAGTACAGAGCCACAGCGATTGTGCACAGTTCCGGAACTGTTTCCATTTATATATTTATCGTATCGTGCAATTCATTATTCCCCGTGGTACGTAGGCGAAGTACAGTGGGCACTGCATAATTCGGACTTATTGAGCTCAATGTTGTTCATAGTGTTATTTTATTTTATTAATTCGATTGTATTGTTTATTTTAATCAAACAGTTGTTTAATATCGGGAGCTATACTTATGGAGTGTTCACGGTATATAAGAAACCGTGTTTTTGATCCCAATGTACCCAGAAGTGAAAATTCTGAGTACTTAAGAATGTACATTCGTCTGGGTGTAGTTTATAAAACTGCAGTTTAAGAAGCACTCAGGAAATTCATGATATGAATACGCATATATAAATACATTTGAATGAAGATAATATAATCACTTCATATAAGCACAAATACCCTCTAATCAGCTTCCGATGAATGCAGTTTCCACTCGAGAGGATAGTTTGATATATCAGCCCAACCCCAAAGATATTAAATGCCTATCTAAAATATAAAAGCAACTTGATTAGAATCATAACTCCTTCATTGAGATCACATCTACATAGTCTCATTTTTTTTTACCATTTAAGTGACTGATAAAAAGTATTACGCTTTTTTGTTTGAAAGATGTTAGCTATTCGAATGTCTTCTGACTGGATTAAGCCCTAAAACTGTGGTTGGAACAGTTCTGCTGTTTCATTGAGAAATTTTTTAGCTTCAAGTTTACAGAGCTTTTTTGTCACGGAAAAGAACTGATCTGATCGCTAGAGCTGGAAAATAACCAATTCAAATTGCATACTTTTAGACAATATATTTATAAAGTATAAAAAGCATTCACAATGAATTTAATTGCGCGGAACAAGCTTAACCCAAAATCCTGATTTGGGCGTCAACTGAAACCCGTTGCTGGCTAGCTCCATGGGAATGCAGGATTTCTTGGCAGGAGCGAAGCGGTAGTCCTTCAACAGATAGTAGATGACAGCCTTGGCCTCAAGGAGTGCAAAGCGGGAACCTATAATGGAAAAATAAATAGGAATCATCAACCTTCAGTTCCAATCAGTTAGTCCACAGCTACCACCCACCAATGCAGTTGCGTTGACCAAGGCCAAACGGATAGTATGTGAAGGGTTGAATGTTGGCCTTGTTCTCTTCGCTGAAACGCTCTGGATCGAATTTGTTGGGGTTCTCAAAGTATTTGGGGTCACGATGGAAGCCGCATGTGGGCAACCAGATATAGTCACCCTTTTTGATTTCTATGGTTTGGCCATCTAACTCATACGTAATATCCTTGTTGCACTCTCGATCTATGGCTATGGCTGGCGGCCACTTGCGCAATACCTCCGAGACAACCTGATCTAGATACTTCATGCCCATGATGGCCTCGTAACTCAGTTCTTTGCCATCCAAGTCGATGTCCACCTGCTGCACCTCCTCGTAGAGCTTCTGCTGGACATCTTCGTTCTCCATCAGCTCTTGAGCCGTGAAGCACATAAGAACCGCGGACGTCTCAAAGCCGGCAAAGAAAAACACAAAGCACTGAGCCACAATATCGCGGTCGCTCCATTCACGGATCACTGTTGTCTTGGTCTTCTCAGTCTGGAACAGGCCGCGGGCTTCCATTAGCATGTTGATCATGTCTGGACGGATGATGTTGTGCTCCTGACGGTACTTCATTGCATCAAGAACCAAACGCACAAAGTACTCGGTGCTCTTCTTGTCAAAGAGATCGACCTTGATATACTGCAAAGAGATGGGTATTAGATCATTGGTCTAGATTGATATATTATTGATTTACTAACCTTATGGAGCGACTTTAGTGCAAAGAATAACATAAACTTTATGTTCTGCAGAAAACCGAATGTGGTCAATTTCTTGCCCATCGAATAGAAGTCGTTATCGCGCTCCTTGAACGAATTAACCTGCAGGCCAAAGGCCGTGGAGGCAATCACGTCGTTGGTGAAGCGTGTGCAGTAATCCTTCATGTCCAGCTCCGTTCCCTGAACGGATCCTTGCTGATCGGGCTTCAGACAATCAACGGCCTCCTTCGCCACCTGATTCATAAGCTGAAACATTTGACGCATTTTCAAGCCCGTGAAGGCGGGACTGAGAGTGCTCCGCATGTCCTTCCAACGTGCATCACGCATGGAGAAGAGCGAGCTGCCGAAAAGATTGCTCATATCATGTGGATCATCGTCAGTGCCGGTGCCGAAAAGGTTGCGATGATTTATGAAATGATCGAAGTCCTTAATGGTTATCTGTCTTAAAAGATCTGGGTCGCGGATCATCATCAGTGGTTGGCGCTGCTCGAAGATACCATAAACTCTGTGTAAAATAAAGTACACAATGTTATTGACTGCTAATCATTTTACTGATAATTTGACTCTAATTTGTCAAATGAGTCGTCGGGTTGCAGATTAGAATTAATTAAAAAGATTAGAATTTGATAACCGTCCATCAATATTTCTATCTTGTATGCCTTTATATGGTCGTAGTCTGGTCTTAACCTATCCGATTCTTTTTTAGCTTAGCCTCCACGTTCAGACCCAATTTATATATATATACATGTATATAAAATGTATTTTTTTACTTCAGGACCTACAGTATCCCTACTCGGTATGCTTAAATCCACGATTCTATGAATAATTTGATTAATTTATAAAATTTTAGACATAAAGGACAAAAGTTTAACCCTTGTATGAACGATTAACTGGGCATTAGCTTTGTTATTAGTTTGTACCTATCAATGCATGGCAACAAAGCGTTACGTTCCACACTGATAACATTGAAATAAACTCAGCTGATAAACTGATTAAAAGTTATCTTAATTATTTACTAGCTTGTATATATTTTACAAAGTCCCTCCACCTGCCCGAAGCTTTTTGTTTGTTTGATGATTTCACAATTATCGTTTAAGAATTATCATAACGTTTCAATATATAATAGATATATATATATACATATATATAAGCACACCCACCCCACCCACATATGTAGATACACACGATCGATTGACCTTGACAGCTGTAGATTCATTTACACATGAATCGGCTGTGTAATTGCGTGTGTATCTATGTATCTACGAGTATATGCTCTCAAAGTTCAAAGTGCGTTGATTCGAATTAACAAGATATTTATTATATTAATTGCAATGCAAACAAAACACACTCACTTGTTACTGCCGCCTTTGTTGTACAAATCGCAGACGATATCAAACATAGCCTTTTGTCGCAGAAACATTTGGGCCATGTTGCCGAAATAGAGCTTAGGCTTAGCAAAGGGAATACCCTTCTCCTTGAAGAACTCATTGTTTGCCGTTGCCCAGCGGTAAAACAACGCAAAGGCAATCCCCAACAGGGCCACAAATTCCAATAACATCTTTGATGATCTCAGTACGCGTAGAAGAGCAGTGCACGCGTTTGGCGATCTAAGCGTTCAGAAGATAACTACGACGCCACAAACAATCGGAATTGTTTTATTGGACAAGAGCAAAGCTTTTAAATTGAGCTTTCACTGGTGTCGCCGCTCTTTGAAAGCGTGTACCGTATTTGATAAACATACATATATAGTATATAATTTCATCTATTAACCTAATATAATCGTATGTAGAAATGAATGAAACAAAGCAAACACTCAGCATTTAAGCAATACAGCATAGAGCGGATAAGGTTGTCGACTCTGGTTCTCAATGGATGAATGGAGCCAGCGAACGTTCAGATGACGACAGCTGCGGCGGTAAAGAGACCTGCGAAAAACATTAAATTGTTAATTAAATAAAAAATATAAATAAATCTAAACGGAACCTCAGCTTTTCCAAATCCACTGCTTTGTCTGCATCGTAAAAAACCAGGTCTGCCTTTTTTGTATCCGTAGTAAGAGAACCTCCGTGTCTGACAAATTCATCTCTTAATTTCACAAGGTCTTGATCTAAATCAAATTGAGCCACAAGACCCGCAAATAACTGACTCTCCACGCTTACGGGCTCGGTATCTTTTTCCTCCAGCTTTACTTCAGTTTTTATTTCTGATTTGCTGGGCTTGAAATAATCTTTAAGGCCCTTTTGAGAAGGGGAAGTTTCTTTCTTTGGTATTTTGCGTTTGCTCGGCGTTGGTGGCGGACCTGCTTTATCGTCATCATCCGATTCAATGGGCGATCTCTTCAGTTTTTTATTACTATTTGACCGGGTATTGATGGCTGGCGTTACTTTTTGGGGCGTCTTTTCTGGATTCGGTTTACCATTGAGCGCATCCTCATCGCAATTGGCTAACAGCAGATCCACGTTAACATTCTTTTTGGAGGCATCGTACAAGTCTTCCAAATGAGCCAAATCATTGGCCTCTTTTGCTGTTTTATCGCTTCGCAGACGTGTTATCCTTGGAAAGCGTATCGAGATGCCTGCCGCTGTGTGTGCCTCGGACTTGGTGAACTCAGCCCCAGTGATCTCCCACACAGGCATGCTTGCTGGATCCTTGGCCAGGACATCTGGCACCAGAGACTTTTTGCACAGCAGCCAATTGGGAGTTTTATTGGCATCAGCTCGCTCTGTTAGCTTCATCAGCGAGCCATGTATCTCCTCGTTGGTGGCATCGTCCAGGCCAGAGTGGACTTTGGTCACAGTTTTCCACAGACGATCGCGCGCATCGTAGCATCCCATTAAAAAGATGCTGAGCACACCTCCCTTTTTCCCAGAGCCATACCACGCACCCAGCACAACTAGATCCGCTGTGTCTGCCATTTTACCTTCGAAAAGGTAATCCTTTTTGACCTTTAGCCAGTTGCGCTTGCCGGGCTGGTAGATGCCATTAGGACTCTTCAGTACGACACCCTCCAGATTGGCATGCAATACCTTGGCCGTCATCATTGCCAGCTCGTTCTTTGTCTTCAGAAACTGAGATTCGGACAGCTGCACATAAGATTTCAAGGGATTGATGTTTTCCTCGAGTATCTTGCGACGTTTATGGAATTCACTAAAAACAAAAACAAAGGAAAATCTATTATTGTAGGTTTTGGGATAGTCAGATTTTCACTCACAGCTGTGTCAGATCCTCACCATCGTAGAGTATGCAATCAAAGACAAACAGACAAACCGAAGCGTTGACAAATGTCTGTTTTTTATGCGCACCCAAAGTGCCAAACGGTAGCATGGCACCCGACTCTGTGTCCACCAGTATTATCTCAGAGTCTAGAATCATGTCGCCGGCGCCTGGGAAGGCTCGTGGTATATGGTCCTTTAAAGCTTTGATTTTGTGATCCATCACAGGCTTCAGATTACGACTAAAGAACTTGAATTCGGTGCCTTGCTTGTGGATTTGTACGCGCTCGCCATCGTATTTGACTTCACCGTACAGCCCGCTGGGGCTCTTTTTGAATGCCTCCTCCACAGATTTGCAGGCATTGGCCAGCATTGGCGATATGGGGGTCATTACTTGAATCCCACCGCCGCTCAATCCCACTTTCTTTGTCTTCTTAACTTGGCCTTGGGTCGAGGTCTTGTTTCCTTTGCCAGAAAACTGTTCCACGATGGCTGATAGGTCGCGAGAAGATTGATAGGCGGGATAGGCGTCAGGGCCAAAGGCATCCAGAATATGTCTGGCCCGTGCATTTATACGTAGATCCTGTTTTACCAGTCTGATGAAGGTGCGTAAATCCAGATCGGTTGCCTTTTTGCACAGCTCCTGCAACAGTTCCGTTTGTTCATCCTCTTTGGTGCGCTCCTCCAGCTGTGTGAGCAGCTTCTCCACTTCATGCAAGTATAGTTTACTCTGCTTCTGCGGCTTGAGTTTGCTTGAGTCGGCAAAATGCTTGCGTAGGGTCTCAGACACGTCTCCATCTACAAGAAATGTGACAATTATCATTTCTGCACCACATACTAGTACGCAGATAGCTCACCCTGCTCCAGATCAAGGTGCATTTGCTGCTGGTTGGCATTGAAAATGCGTGAGAATAGTTTTATCAGCGCCTTGTTCTGCAAATTGTAGACGCGCTGGTTGGCTACTGGTATCAGGAACTGCACCCACAGCAATGTGTCGCCCTCGAAGCCAGAGCCACTGGTCCCCTTTTCAAAGAAATTCTGTAGTTTGTCAACCTTCTTAAGGTAGCTTGACTCCGCAGCTATTTCATCACAAACGCGTCGAAATGTGTCCAATCTATTGTCCTCATTCTCCGTCCGCTTGCTGCCCATGACGCTGCTACCAAGTCGAGTTAAAAACCGAATATGACTCTTCGATTTCGCAACACCTAACATATAATATATAACATATATGTATATTAAAAACAATTACAGAAAAATGCCAGCACACGTACGACTCGCGCGTAAACAAAAGCGGCACTTTCGAGTCCAATCAGCTGTTCTTCAGCAAGAACTTTGGCGTTGCTAACACTGGCGCGAGAAGCATTGCCTGCCGCTACGATTTTGAGGCGCAACCGCCAGAACGCATTCAAATCAAGTTTCATGACTTCAATATACCAACCACAAACGTAAATTCTACCGAATGCCAGGCAAATGATGCTCTCCACGTGATGATTGAAGTGGGTGGCAGGTACGAGACACAGGAACTTATCTGTGGAGCCTTTCTGCCCAAGCCTCTGATGTCGAATGGCCCGCAAATCCATATGCAGTATTTTGGAAAGTATCCACCTGAAATGACCAACAAGGTTCAGTATTACGGGTTTCGTGCGGAATACAGGTTTCTCTCAAGTTAGTTAACAAAGATTATTTTAATTCTATAATCCAGAGGACTATTTACTTTTATAGATTTTGGCATCATGTCGGGCGTCCAACAGGGCGAGGAATGCACTTTCGTCTACAACAGCAGCGAACGTATCAGTGGGCTCTTCCATTCACCGAATTTCCCTGGGTATTATCTGGAGAACGTTGTTTGCAACTATTACTTTTATGCCGGCAGAGACGAAAGAGTTGTCCTGCATTTCACCTACTTTGATGTGGAGGGCATCGGAGCGTAGGATCACTTTCGCTTTATTTCCATTTGCACCTATTAAGAATATGGTTCATTTCCAGATGTGACCATCAGACCGCCAGCGACTATGTGGAGTTCTCGAATTTCATGAGCACCGATCGCAAGTACAGTAAATACTGTGGCAAGCTGCAGGACTTTGAAATGCGTTCGGATGGTCGATTCTTTCGAGTCACACTGCACTCGAACGATCGGTTTGTAGCCATTGGATTTCGGGCTCTTTACACATTTGAGCCCATTCCAATGAATAACTCCGTCACCGATCTACGAGGCAACGCCTCAATGCAGAGTTATGTCTCTCATGCACCCTCACGGGATACACATTTGGACATTATTGCAATCATATCATTTTGGGTGCATTATTCATTTATAAAACACAGTATTTAAAAATATATACGAAAATCGATCACTTGAGTTCTATCGAAGTCATCACGTTATCTTTAGCAACCGTGCGTGCATCTAATCTCCTGGGCAAAAGGCGTTGTTTTTGTGGAGTCACCGGTGCTGTTATCTGAGGAATAAATACACTTGTAAAGTCTGATCGTTACCCATAACTATTCGGCCTTTTCTGCTCACCAGAAAGCACCTGATTATTCAAAACTGATAAGCACTTACTAAGCAACTAATTATATATTCGTGGCTTTGCAGTGACCCCTACACAATGGCCGCTAAAAAATTAGATGCCATCATTTTTGGTGCCACCGGATTCACCGGCAAATACACGGTCCTGGAGGCTGTGTCCGTTCTGAAGGGACTGAACTGGGGTATCGCCGGGCGTAACCAGGAAAAACTGCAGTCCGTACTTAAGGAAATGAGTGCAAAGTCCAAAACAGATCTGTCGCAAACACCCATCATCATCGCCGATGTGAACAATGAGGCATCACTTATTGAAATGGCTAAGCGTTGCCGCATTGTCGTGAACACTGCTGGCCCATACCGATTTTTCGGTGAAAATGTGGTCAAAGCCTGCATCGAGGCAGGCACACATCACGTTGACGTTAGCGGGGAGCCTCAGTATATGGAAACCATGCAGCTGAAGTACAACGATCGGGCCAGGGAGCGTGGAGTATACGTAATCAGTGCCTGTGGATTTGACTCCATTCCCGCCGACATGGGAGTCGTCTTTATAGAGAAGAACTTTGACGGAGTAATTAACTCGGTGGAGAATTTCGTCCATTTAGGAGTCAAGGGCGGTACAAAAGGCCTGGGCGGCGCTGCTCTTAACACTGGCACATGGGAGAGTGCCATTCACGCCATCGCGAACAGGAGTGAGTCAATCGCGATACGCAGGAAGCTTTTCCCCGATCGTCTGCCCAAATTTCATCCTGCGCTGAAGTCACGTGCTCCACTTTCCATTGCTGAGGATGTGGGTAAAGTAATCCTGCCCTTCCCGGAGACGGATCGATCTGTCGTGATGCGATCACAGCGCTACCTGTACGAGACTGAGAAGAAACGTCCTATCCAGATGCAAGCCTATATGACGTATCCCTCGCGGTTAGTTGCTGGCGTGGTTGTCTTCTTTGCTTCTATTATCGGAATTATGGCCCAGTTTTCCTTTGGACGTCAGCTCCTGCTCAAGTATCCCAGCTTCTTTTCCGGCGGTATGGCGTCTCGGGACGGTCCGAGCGAAGCGCGCATGGAGCGTTCGTTCTTCAGCATGACAATGAAAGCCTCCGGATGGCCCAAATCCCAGAAGCTAGCCGAAAGTACAGACCAATACACCTCACCACCATCCAAGACGTTAACAGTAAAAATAACGGGTCCTAATCCTGGCTACGGTTCCACCTGTGTGGCCCTGTTGTCTACGGCAAAGACCATCCTGAACGAGAGCGATAAGATGCCCAGCACAGGAGGAGTTCTGCCCCCGGGAGCCGCCTTTTCCAAGACCAGCCTCATCAGCGAGTTGGAGAAGCACGAACATGGTATTAAGTACGAGATTGTAGCCAACAAGTAAATTTTGTACTTATATGTAATATATGTATATATAAAAGCGGGAATTAAATAAACAACAGCAACAAACTTTATTCTTTTCATTCAAAAAACATTACCGCGGCCACACTGATAGTGTTTACACACAGTTCGCAGTTTCAAATGTTTTTGATTTTTTTAGTATTTTTAGTAAATACTAAATTTATGCGGTCACACTGCCCTTTTTTCTAGAGCTGGGCAAACTTCGATAAAGCCTTCGATTGTTTTTACAGCTATTTTTTTGTTTACCTTTGCTCACTACCATTTCGGACGCCAACGCGATTTTATTTAAAAATTATGAGTGCTGAAATATCCGGCTTTCGCCGTTTTATACATTGGGGCCCAATCACAGCCCTGAGTAAGTACTACCGAGAAAAGCAATGGCCCGCGGAGACAGAGCCTCAGATCTGGGTTCAGATTAGCGTCATGTGGGCAACAAGCTGAAGAGAAAAATTTTCAAATGAGTCAAAAGCGAAGTGAATGAACTACTGGACAGACAGACGGTCAGACGGCCACAAAGAGCACATAACAAGGCTCCAATTACTCTTTCTAAGACGTGGGTGGGACCTGCAACGCCCGCTCGGGCACACGGGCAACGCCCGCGTTTTGTATATGTCTGGATCGAAATATCGCGTTTTACATTTCTACGGACGGGTCACAGCCCAGTCCGGCACGACACATCCGCTGCACGGAGCCCAATTGAGTGTCAACACACAGGGGCGAGAGACTCCTCCCGGCACCAACTTCGCCTTTTAATTCCCCTAATGCGCTGTGCTAATTGCGTTTTAGTTGCATGTGTTTTCGGCTTTTATTTCATATTTCTTGTCGCTCAAAGTGTCGTCGAGTCGGGTCCTGTGCTATCGGAAATTTCACGCAGTCCAAGTATAGCGTGCAAATTGACCATTTGCTCCTTGGCAAGGCAGACGGTAAAACGACCGTAAGACTTCCGGTTGGAATACGAGCCATAAGAAAAATTTGGTATCGAACTGATATTACAATTGTGTTTCCAGCCTTAATGTCTGAATTAGACGCCGGTGCGCCGGCTGCTTGTTGCTGCTTTGGCCAGGAGTGGGGATGGGAAGGGCCGTGTCCAGACGGGCTCTCATTGCTGGGGCGCGGTTTCGCTTAATCAACTCAAAAGGGTGGCCATAAACGAAATAAATGAGCTTAATTTCCTTTACACGCAACCAAGCGAGAAGCATAGCCACCACCAGGTCACCCCATCCGGGCCCTGACTGGGCTTCGGCAGCGGCTGTACAATATCAAATTTCATAAACACACATAATGTTTTATCTTTTGCTTTCCCGTTTGCAGGCATTATCAAGTGCATAACGCTGACTACGCTCTACATGAACTCGATGTGGTGGCCGCCAAATGAATCATTCGCTGGCTTTGCCCATCAGGCCTTATTCCTAATGCTCTCCACGCTGGCCACATTCAATTACGTCATGGCCACGCTGACAGGTCCCGGCCTACTGCCAAGACAATGGCAGCCAAAGGTAAATAACGCAAGTGGAATACATTTTGTTGTGACACGCTTCATGAGAAAATTGCTAGCTGGCCTGGAGCTGGAGGGTGTTCCCTGAACACCTGTTACCTTTGATAATTTCCTTTTACACTGGGCCCAAAAAAATGTTGACCCGACACGAACTGTGGGCCGTTTCTGTCCCCATTGTGCATCGTCATTCTGAAGCGGAAGTTCTTGTTTAGCAGCAAACAAATGGAATGGAATGGGAACGAGCTAAGGGTGCCATCAACACACGGCGGCGGGGAAAGCCCTACTATTTGGCCGTCACTCTTTAATTTCTTTGCTTTATTTCATTCCGACCAAGAGCCCATTCTGCAGTCCTTCTGTGGCGTGTGTATTTTCCTTATCGCATAATTCGCGTCAATTAAACTGCAATTTATTTTGAAGATTTTGAATTCAATTCGTCGCAGTAGGAGAATCGCAAAAATGTCGTGCTGGGACCAGGACCGGTAACGTTTTTCGGCGCCCATTAATTTTTCCTTGGGCCATGACGCAGTGGCCCACAAATAATTTATGGACCGACTTAACGTCCATGCCCTGCACGCGAACCGAACGCATTCTGTGGAGCCCAGTCCGGTCGGTCCGTAATGCAATTACCAGAATTTGCATAAATGTTTTGTAGGCAGGTCCCAGACACAAGAGAGGCGGCGGCGGCGGCGGTGGGTGGTGTCCGGCCAGCTGCCTAATGAGCTGTGCGTCGTTAGGTTTTGTTATAACCCGTAGTTTAGCGAGTGGTACGCATATGAATAACATATATATAACATACTATTATCCTTATGAAAATCTTAATTTGGCAGGAGCCCAAGGACACAGAGTACCTTCAATACTGCAAGGCGTGCGAGGGCTACAAGGCTCCTCGCTCCCATCACTGTCGCAAGTGTAAGTGGATCCTCAAGGAGAAACAAAAACCAAGAGCTGTATCAATTTCTGTTTCTGTTTAGGCAACCGATGCGTAAAGAAGATGGATCATCATTGCCCGTGGATCAACCACTGTGTGGGCTGGGCCAATCATGCCTACTTCTCGTACTTCCTGCTCTTCTCCATATTGGGCAGCATGCAGGCCACCGTTGTCCTCTGCGGCTCCTTCTATCGTGGCATCTATCGCTACTATTATCTGACCCATGGCCTGGTGCACCTGGCCAGCGTCCAGTTCACAGTCTATAGCATCATAATGTGCATCACAGGCATGGGCCTGGCCATTGGAGTGGTCATTGGCCTGGGCATGCTGCTGTTTATTCAACTCAAGACGATTGTCGCCAACCAGACGGGCATCGAAATCTGGATAGTCGAGAAGGCAATCTATCGCCGCTACGCCATCGGCGAGAGCGAGGATAGTTTCATCTATCCGTATGATCTGGGCTGGTGGCTCAATCTGAAGCAGGTGTTCAATGACGAGTGCCAAAAGCTCGGCGACGGCATCGACTGGCCCGTGTTAAAGGGCTGTGATCAATACACATTGACGGTGAGTCCTTACAAATCCCACAAGCACACGAAGTGTCGAATAATAGATACCTTTCCCTTTTTTCGCCTCACTAGCGAGAGCAACTGGCGCAGAAGGAGGAAAAACGAGCCCGGACACGTACCTACAAGTGTCATAGTCCCGTCACGGGTCGATGGCTTCCCGTTTGCTCGCAGGGTTGGAGCGTATGCATGGGCGCTCCCTGCACTGATGAGCCGCGAATCCGCCTACAACCAGGTGACATAATTAAAGTTACGCGCTTTCGCAAGCATTGGCTCTTTGGGGAGCGGGAACTCACCAAGCAGGAGCTGGGCGCCGACAAGACGCATCGGCGCAAGGGACATATACGTGGCTGGTTTCCACGCCGAAGCGCCGTCGAGGTTATCGAGGTACACGAGTGCGGCGGAGAACCTGGCAGCGACAATCTGCCCGAGAACGGAACTTGTAACGGAGGACATGCTCAACTGAGGCAGCAGCAACGCAATGGACACGCCAAGAAGTATATGTAACCCGAGCAAATCGTTCAATCGGGCCAATGAGCACATCATGGCAATTTCCGTCGACCCACAGTCGGGTCGTCCCAGCTTGTACATAGATTAGTAACCGCTTGAAAGACTTGACTATTTTCCGCTTAACCAGGTGCCAGTCCCTCTCTCGATTACTTTGTTAACAATGTTGGCCAATAAAGCAAACGCGAAACTTGATAACGATCACGGTTTTGTGATAAGCGATTACATTTCTAAATATACCATATACCGTGCCGGACTTAAATATTAGCTATTGCTTTTCAGTTAACTTCTCTTTTAAGAGAAGTCCCATCGCGATTTTTAAATGGAAAATGCAATAATTCAATTTATGCGAATAATTCAAAAATGTTCTATAAGATTAGATCATTTTTATAAGTGTAGTTCTATTACAATATTTTAACAAAAAATGTATAAAATTATACGTACTTGGAAGGTTGCTTTTTGGTCAAAGATTCCTCGCTACTTTTAGTTCTGTGGAACTGTCTAATATGCAATCTCAAAATATATTTAATTTAAGGAAAACTTAGCAACAGAAGAAAATCATTCCGCATTTTCCCAAATAAGACAAGATTAAAGCGGTCTAAAAGAGCTTCAAAATGATGTCTTTAAAAATCGCGATGGAAAAGAATTGTAATCTTTATTTTTATCCCAGTGCTAATATAGAACTCAAGTCCGGGACTGTATAAAAATAACAATTGATATTCGATTTTATCGATCATATCCCCACAAATAATGTATTTATTGGTTAAACATAATTTGATTATGACATTTAATACAGATAATATATTGTGTGCTTTTAGATAAACTGATAAATGGATAGCCCTCTAGCCTTCATGGGGCTATTCGGAGCTCATGGTCGCCTCGATTTCCTCAACGGTGCGTGGCACAATTGCAAAATTCTCAATACCATTCTGGGTAATGAGGACATCGTCCTCAATGCGAACACCACCAAAGTTGCGGAAACGATTGAAGACGTCCACATTGATGAATTTGCGTAGTTCTGGATTGGCCAGAGCGCCGTCCATCAATCGCTTGATGAAGTAGCAGCCCGGCTCAATGGTCACGTACATGCCAGCCTTGAGAACACGGGCAAAGCGCAACTTGCACAGCCACGGCTCGTTGGGGCGCTTCGGCTCAGTGGGTAAATATCCGCCCACATCGTGAACGTCCAGGCCAATCAGGTGCCCCAGGCCGTGCGGCTGAAAGACGGCCGAGAGTCCAGCTTCGAGCATTTCATCGACATCGCCCTTAAGCATGCCACCCTCCTTGAGACGTTGCAGCAATACCTTGCCGGCAAGCTTGTGCATGTCCACCCACGAAACGCCATCGCGTGCTGTCTCAGAAACCGCGTTGCGAGCATCTAGCACAGCATTGTAAATGAACTTCTGGTCATCCGTGAACTTGCCGTTGGCTGGGAAAGTGCAGGTAATGTCTGCCGCATAGCCGCAGTAGTTGGCCCCCATGTCGAACAAGCACATTTCGCCATCCTGGATGGGTCGGCTGTTGGGTGCTCCGGCATGGCCATAGTGCAGAATAGACGAGTTGGTGCCGCTGCCGCAGATGCATGTGTAGGAGGCATGACGACAACCTCCCACGGAGTAGGAGTGGTGGAGAAACAGAGACTCCCCCTCAAACTCCATCTTGCCAGGGCGTATGAACTTCATTACTTTGATGTGGGCGTCCGACGAGACCTTTGCCACATAACGCAGAACTTCGATCTCTTCGGCAGACTTGATAACGCGGCACTCGGACAATATGGGGTAGAGTAGGTCGCAGTCGGTTACATACTTCTCCTTGCCATCGAACTCGGGCGGCTGCATTGTGAGGCCGCTATCGCTGTTTGTGCCACTGAGCGTCAGTATCAGCTTGGGAGCTGCCTTCTCCAGATAGTCCGTGAGTTCATCCAGATAGTAGACCGCATCCACTTCGTACATGGCCTTGAACTCTTCTGGTGTAAGCAGCTCGCCCATCCAGGTGCTGTATTCCTCAGGAAGTCGCGGCACAAAAAGAATGCTGGACACGCCCCCCGTCCGTACGTCGATCGTGAGGATGCCATAGCAGCCGGGCTCCTTGGCTCCAAAAAGATACTGAAAATATGACTCCTGGCGAAAGACATAGTCCACATCGGTGTTGTACAAACTCTGATCCTTGCCGCCCTCCAGCAGAACGAGCAAATTGCCCGAATCAAACTTGAGGTTCTTCGAGAGTTGTCGCAACAGAGCTTTGGAAACGCGATCTCTATTGTTCTTAAACAGGGTCATAGGCACTGCGTAGCCCGATCCCATCTGAAAGGCGGCCATGTTGATGCTACACGTTTGGAATAAGAGCTATAACTGGCCTTTCTGCAAATGGGCAATAATTCTACAAGCCGATTAGCGATATCTATAAAAAAAACACCAGCTGTAAATTATAATTATAACTCTTATCAGTTTGTTTTCCTTTGTTGTCAACCGGGCTATATAAAAAATACCGAAAACACTGAGCATTTCGATATCGAAAACACTAGAATATATTTTCGATATACTTCGAAAATACTAGAACATATCGTTCTATCGGGCATTTTCCGTTTTTATTGATCTGGGCACACCTCAAGAATTTTTTTGCGAATTTTATTTCCATAAATTTTTGAAAAAAAGGCTTACGGCATTTAAAGAGTAGGCTGCTGTGTTCGTGAAGCAGAATATACATGCACGTGGATAATTTGTGTCCGTGGGGCAGCTATTGTATTACATATTAATAACAGTTTCCGGACGCTGACCCGGATTCGCGTGTCGGCGTCGCAACGCGGCGGCACTAGCAAAACAACAAATGCCTGAAAGCATTACGAACGAGTACTGAAAACGCTGTAAGGGCAACAGCCTGCGATGTGTTATTAAAAGTTGTGGCCCACGAATAGGCAGCAGAATGTCTAGTTCGGTTTTTATCGAGGCCCCGAGTGCCAGACGAGCTGCTGATGCAGATTCCAATCTGGTTGTGGTCTACAGTAAAAATGGCATCTCTTTTGATGAGCGGGCCATGGAGAGCCTCATGGGTATGGGCACTGATGCTTAAATAACATTTCTGCTCTACTAAAAATTATATTTTTAGAGGAAAAATCGATTTCCACCATCAGCGTTGTGCGAATAACTTCGCCCACGCCTAGCATGGTGGACCAGGAGGAGGCCGAACGCTTAAATGAGCTAGAGCAGTTCCTAGATGCGGCGACGGACACTGAGTTGGACACCGACAATGGGAGCCAAAGTGGCGGCGATGATGTCAGAAGCGAGGGGGACCACATTCCCGCAGATGATGACAACAACACCGACGATGAGCTCAACGATGACTCTACAGAGACCGAAACGGAGGCTCCCAAGACCAGAAAGCGGCCCGGCCGCAAGCCCAAAGTAATCAAAAAGAAGAAACGGCGCAAACCCAAGGAGCGGCCTCAAATTGTGGGCCTGCGTGTGGAGCAATTCTATGCCGAGGGCACGGCCGACTTGGTTGTGAAAAATGCTTTAAGTAAGTGTCAAATAAATAAACAATCCATTCAAGTGTCACGTAAAGAGTGCATTTTATTCACAGAGCTTGCTGGCTTGTCAATCTACAAGAGGACGCCTGAGACGGACGCTTTGATGGAAGTAATTAAGAACGATCACAATTATACACCCTTCACCTCGCCAGAACAAATGAAACTCCACAAAAGAGCCGAGAAAATTGCCCTGGAAAAGCAAATTCAGGGTCGGAAAATCATTATGCAAGCGCCGGGAAATGTCAAAATAATCAATGCCAAAAGACGAATACAGGCACTGCCCTGCACTCCATTGCAAGTCAAGGTGCAAAGACTGCCCGTTCAGCCACAGCAGGAGCCGCTGCTACGCAAGCCCCAGGCCCAGTCGACACCACAGCCTCTGCACAGGGAGAGACGAGAAATGATTGTAAACTCTATGCCAAAGGGCAGGCCAAGGTCTGGGCGTAGCATCGCTCAAGTAATGGCTCCTGTGGACGACCACATAGACGATGACGAGGAGGCAGAGAGCTCGGATCCCGCAGATGAGGAGAATGCCGACAAATTGTACGATAGCGACGAGGTGAGCGAGGACAGCGACGATCTGCAGGACACGGACAATGACAGGGACAGTGATATGGACTTCAAGATGAGGCACGACAGTCGCAGCTCCAACAAGCGAAAGCGTGCGAGAAAGCTGAACAGTAGGCCTACCAGGCTGTCGAAAACCTTGCCCCCACATCATCCCACTCCAAAACAGTTCCCCGAACTCAAGCGGCGGAAGGAGCCAATGCCACAGATTATCCTGCAGCGAAAGGAGCTATTTCCGCAGAAAGGCATGCAGCGTAGGGAGCAAGTGCCTCAGAGTGTCCTGCAGCGTAAGGAACAAGTGCCACAGAGTATACTGCAACGTAAGGAACAAGTGCCACAGAGTATCCTGCAACGTAAGGAACAAGTGCCACAAAGTGTCCTGCAGCGTCGGGAGCAAGTGCAACAGAGTACTCCGCAGCGTAGAGAGCAAGTGGCACAGACTACAACGCAGCGTAAGGATCAAGTGCAACAGATTACCCCACTGCGTAGGGATCAAGTGCAACTGACTGTCCCACATCGGAGGGATCAAGTGCAAGTGACTGCCCCGCAGCGCAAGGAGCAAATCCACCCGATTGCCCCGCAGCGAAAGGAGCAAATCCAACCGACTGCCCCGCAGCGAAAGGAGCAACTGTCACAGAATGCTCCGCAGATTGGTCAGATTATTCAACTGCCAACAACAAAGGCGCCGCCCACTGTAATTGCGTTGGGCAGAGGCATTCAAAGCACCTCATTTCTTAAAATACGCCCCACTCATCAGGCGCTAGCCATTAGAAAACCTCCGCTGTTTACCGAAGCGCTCGGACTAGCCTCTGCCGTTGCCAAGGTACGTCGCACACCGCTAGTCCATGTGGGAAAAGTTGGAAATACTTCGGAGCCCGGTGTCTTCAGTACCCCAGTGTCTCAGGACGTGAAGGAGATTATAATCAACAAAAATACGTCTAGCCCCAAGGGAGTTTTCACCAATATCAATAGTTTGCTGGCCGAAAACCACAATGCGAACACCAAATCCTCGCCCGATCGAAACAGGCAGCGTCCCGTAACTCCACCATCCAGCTATACCGCAAGAATTATGCACCCAGCAACAGTTTCCGTGCCCGTTCCGGTTCCAAACAAGGGCTTCATGCCCATCGGAGTGGAGACGGCCCAATCTCATACGCTGCCCGCTCAGATTGTGATCGAAACGCATCAGAGTTCCTTCGAGCTGGCAGCCGAAAATGACAAGCAACTGGACCTCATCGATTCGATAGTACAAGATGAACTGCTGAAGACAACGCTCGTCGAACAGCCGGCAGTCAGTGCAGATGAAACTATACCAAAACTGGTCAAGATGCTGGAGAGTACGGCATCGGGACTGGATCAGGCAGGACCAGTGGCAGTACTACCAGTACCAGTATCAGTATCAATGCCACAAGTGAAGCCAAACGAAATCTTTACAGATTTTGCTCATCCAGTGGGTCAGAGCTCAGTGCATAATACTGTTCCAGTGGATGATAATGTTAGCATTGACATGGACACTGCCCGCCTGTTGAATACGCCAGACGAAGATGAGATCACAGCTGATTTCCTACAGCATGTCGTTGGCCTCATCGAGGAGGACAAGCAGTTCGAGGCCGAGGTGGTGAAGCAAGTGCTGGCCAGTACCGACCCTGCAAGTCTAGATGGCATTGTATCTTTGCCTCCGCCCGTTGACAGCTTGGTCCATCCATCCATTCTGCACGCGTCGTCATCAGAGGTAAGTGTGTCTGATTCTTACATTTTTGGACTTGCTCTTAGCTCCGAACCCTCCGAATTCCAGCCACATCCTTCAGTTCTCTCCGAGCACAGCCATCTGCTATCCTCTATGCCTATTGCCTGCAGCACACCATCACGGAGCCGGCTAATAGGAGTTCCATCCTTGGGAGCCCAAATCCGTGCCGAGGCTAAGGCAACGTTGCGTGGCAACGGGCGAGTCATTCAACTGCCCCCGATAGAAGCACCGACAACACGCGCGAAGCGACGCGCACAATTCACACCAACAACGGCAGCTGCCACAAGCTCAGGGGACCTGAGCAACGTGTCGATTGGGGAACCCACTCTGGATAACAGCAGCTTCAGCAACAGCACCGAAAGCCAGTTGTCCCTCAAACCTGGAGCCGGGCCAAAGCGAGCCAACCCAAGAGAACCATCCCTGGCCAGACGCTCGACTGTACCCAGAAGAACGAAGAAGTTAAACACGAGTCAGTCGAATGACACCGAGGCCTCGGAATCTCAAGAGGACGATGATGACCCCAACAAGTAATGAATGCTAACGAATAACTAAACACAAAGACCAAGACCAATGTTTCTCTGCTCTGCTTTTTAGGCTCTGGTGCGTTTGTCGTCAGCCCCACAACAATCGGTTCATGATCTGCTGTGATCTGTGTGAGGACTGGTTCCACGGCACCTGTGTGGGTGTGACCAAGTCCATGGGCATTGAAATGGAGCAAAAGAGCATCATTTGGAAGTGCCCGAAATGTGTTAAAAAGCAGGAGGAAAAGGTATGACAAGACTAATTACATTTGCCTTCATTGATTCAATGATCGTTCCGTTCCGCAGAACCAACCAAGGATTACGGATATGCTGGTCATGAGGCCAGCCATTCAACCAGAGGAGACCTCAAGCGAAAACAAAGTCTTAGTGTCTGCAGCGGAGCCCAATCGGACGCTGCCGGCGACGGTGGGAGCTACTGTCGCCAGTGCGCCGTTGCGTAGTCCTGTGATGAAGCCAACGACCAAAAGGTTTCCAATCAGTCAGCAGATGCCACAACAACAGCACCAGCAGATGCAGATGCAGCAGCAGCTAAATTTTGTCAAAGTAGGAGTAACCAGTGGCCGCCCTTCAGACACCAATTGTGTGTTCTGCAAGCGACCAACGGCTAGCGCAAAATCGGTGTACTGTAGCGATGAATGCTTACGAAAATATGCACAGCAAGCAATTCAGGCCCAGACGGCTGCCAAGAGTCCCGCCAATCCCGCCAGTCCTGTGCCGCAGACGGCGGCGGACAAGCAAACGCCTCTGGCAAACAGCACTGAGCAGGCCAAGAGGCACAAAAAGAAGGATCTGTTCGAGGATGTGTTGCGTCAGGCAGACGCTGTGTCGAAAATAGAGCGGGTACAAAAGCTTCAGCTACAAGCAGCCGACGCGAAACTCGAATCAGACTAAACAAATTGTACATTTTCAGATAAATGTGATTGAGCGTAAGAGTGGCCGTGTACTCACTGGCCACTTGGCACCCATCGCACATCATTTCAGAAAATGGCTCCAAGACAATCCCACCTTTGAGGTACTGCCGTCGGGCAGTTTTCAGTCCCTGGACCCAGAAGTAAGCATGATTATGGTTTATTGATTGGCCAAGTACTCACCTACGTATCTCCTGTTTGTCCTTAGAAGCGTCAGTTCAAGCGGATTCCGGATCCCGAGACACCAACTACTGCTACTAAATCGTCTCCAAGTGGAACGAAAGTCCCACAGCTGCAGCGAGTACTCACCCCTCCCATTCACGCCCTGCCCAAAAAAGATAAGCCCCCTGCGAATGTGGTGGCCTCACAATCCCCCTTCAAGCCTGAGCCGATACGGTTAAATGTGCGACGTACGCTCAAGGAGCAGCTGCTGGCGCGCATTAAGGAGGCACACGATGCAGAGCAGAGTGCGGGCACCAGCACCACGACGCAATGGCTGACACCCATCGAGGCGGAGCAGTTCGTGAAGAGTGTGGAATCGGAAATGTATAATTCGTTTGGTTGCGATGTGGGGTCCAAATACAAATCGAAATATCGCTCACTTATGTTCAATATTAAAGATCGCAAGAACAAGACGCTGTTCGAAAAGATCTGTGCCAAGCAGGTGGAGCCCAAGCAGCTCGTGGCCATGACGCCCGAGGAGCTGGCCAGCCAAGAGCTTGCCAAGTGGCGCGAGGAGGAGGCGCGTCATCAGCTCGAGATTATTGAGAAATCAGAACTAGACATGCTATCCTGCACACAGAACTATGTGGTAAAGACCCATAAGGGGGAGGAGGTGATAGCCACCAAAGTGGATGTCACACTGCCCAACGTGGAGTCAATCCTGGACAAAAAGCTCACCTCTCAGAATAGCGACCCAGAGAGTGCCAGCAAGGACATCAGCCTAGAGCATTCCAGCTCTAAGGAAAAGTCCGGATCATCCAAGGAGAAGCGTCACAAGAGCCACAAGCGCCATCATCCGCGCAAGAGAAGTCGCAGTCGATCGAGCAGTCAAACGCGCAGCCTGGAGAAGCGACACCGAAGGCACCATAACGATGTGGAGACTGGGGGAGAACGAAAACACCGTCATCGAGAAAAGCAGCACAGTAAAGATCGAGATGAACGTATTTCATCGCCATCCAAAAAAAGGGAGGAGAATGATCGCTCATTCTTGCCGAAAAATGTAACAGAAAAGAAGCCAGACGAGGCGTCAGCGTCAGCGTTAGCCAAAGTGTCTAGTACGTATAACCTGGTTGGTAAAATTCTTGAATCTGCCAAAACGGTGGAGCAGGCGGCGAATTTAGAACAGCCTCCTAAGCAGCAGACTGTCAAGGCCGTGCCCCCATCGACGACAGCCACAGCAAAGGCTGCCGCTCCAGCAGCCACTCCGCTGGACAGCTACACTCGCTATTTGCAAGGTCTGCCCAAGCGATCACTGTGGTCCGGCACCCTCAGCATGACCGATGTCGCAAACTTTCAGGTGGTGGCCCACCCTCTACTCAGCAATTCGCATCAAATGACCAAGCTGCTGCCCGTCAAATTAGATGTGATTGGCCGCATATCTCGCGTGATGGTCTGGGACTATATCAAGAAGATCAAAAAGTGTGCAACCAAAGAGGTTGTCCTAGTGAATCTCTTTCCATCCGGACCGAGTGAGATTCAAAAATTTGATCATTTCTTTGAATATCTCGACTCGCGTGAACGGTTGGGTGTAATTGAGCCCGAAGCTAATCAGATTCGAGACTTTTACATCTTTCCATTGGGCTCCAAGGAAAAATTGCCCAGTGTGCTTGCCCATGCCACAGAGCTTGTTCCGTTTTACGAGGACACGCAGAGGCCCAACGCACTGATGGGCATCATCGTGCACTGTCTGCCAACATCATTGCCAGTGGCACAATCATTTCCCGCGGCCAGCAGCAGCAGCAGCAAGGTGGCAAAGGTAAGCGATATGGGGTGTGGTATCCGATGTCGATGGGTATTTGACTTTTTATATTTCAGAAATCACGCAGCACTACGTCATTTACTCCGCCAAGCAGTCCCAAACGCAAGCCTAGCAACCACTCGACCAGCTCTAAGGACGACGAGTTCGATATTGATGCCATCATCAAGGCACCCATTACGAAATCGCGGAAGAGTAAGCGCAAAAGAGTCCATTTTGTACTTTAATTTTAACGTATTGGAAATCTCTCACAGCAGCTACAACTGTGCCTCCAGCTGTTCTAGTGCCAGCATTGCCCGCTCTGATAGATGATGCCAATGAACCCTACTCGCCAGGCGGCAGTTCCGGCGATGAATCTGTTGCAACGCCAAAAGCCACAAATAAAACCAGTCTGGCGCGTCAGGTGGATGAAATAAACAAACAGATTGCGGCACAACAATTGGAAATTGCCGACTTGCTCAATGTGGAACCTTCTGTAAGATACACAATGAAATTTTCCTCATCACATTAATACTCATTTTGGGGCTTACTTTTTGCGCAGGGATCCGCCAATGCCCTATCCAGAATATCAATTCCGCCAGATCTTTCAAAGATCCTGGCAAGCATTAAGGACAAATCGGACTCTGTGGCGAATGTTGGCGATAGTGAGGAATACAATCCTGAGGACGTAATAACCACGCCTAGGCCATATGCAACCGGTAACCGAATTGCGAAACCCAATTCGAAATGCACAAATGGGATTAATTTCATTTGTTTATTTTAATAGCAACGACCAAGAGCATAGGCCGTTTGGCGCGTCTAAGTGAAGCTGAGCTTCTTAGCATGGTGCCGGACAATCTGGTAGATCTGGTGCCCCCCTTAACGTCTAACAACCGACATCAGAATCCCCCACCGCCGAATACTTAGGGATGCGTTCAAAATTATTTTAGATTAGACATAGGCGCGAATTATTTTACATCTATTTGTTATTAGTTCAACATTTAATCTGAAATTATATATTTCGCCCCGCCAACCCCCTCATTCATGTGTACATTCTCATACAGCAGCGAATTGAATACCATTTCTGTATTATAACTGGCAATTGGAACAACTATTTATACCAAAACCTGTCCTTAAAACAGTATGATTCGCTTTGCATTGCAAGATAGAAATCGGTTTTCAAAAGCTAATTCAATTTTTTATTTCTTCCATTCAAAAATTGTACATTTCCTCGAAAATAAAAAAACCTGTTAAGTAACGTTTGTTTTAGGGATACATATATGAATAATTGTATTATCTTTATTACTGGGATTAAATATATAAGCTTTAAATAAATCAACTAATTAATTAACCTCACATGGATCGTCCTGGCTACTGAAATGGGCACATGAGATCTTCGGTCCATTGTGGATACGTGGAATGGCAATGCGGAAAAGAGTACCTTGTGGCATGCAGACGCAAATCTTGTACTGAACACTGCCCGTTCGTATACCCAGTTCGGAACTGACTATGGGTATGCGGTCCATGTCCAGGAATATGCCAGTGCCAGCCTCTAGCACAGTAGCGCCTTGTGTTGAGTTGATAGAGACGTGATGCTCGGCTTGTAGATCGATGCTGGCGGCATCGAAGAACACACCCTCTGACCCCTTAACGACAATACGGCCGTCGCTTTCCATGTTCAAGGGCACATCTATGGGACTGGAGATGCCGCTCGCGCTCACCACCTTGGCCTGCAGAGCAGCCACACCAGCCGGGATGTTGTACTGGGGACGATGAGTGCTAAAAATGGATTGCCGATCGGCGGGGTCTTTCACATCAAACACATTTGTGGCATCTATGACAATGGCATCCTTATCGACAACGATGCGATCGCGCTCACTAGAGGCACCGTTTCCATTACGGAAGACGCGCACATGCACGCCAGCATCCGGATTGTCGTCACTGCTCCCATCACTACTGATGGTCACTGGCACATCTGTAAAGCCATGCACCTGACCAATTGAATTGGTCTGAAGGCGCTCCAGCTCGGTTGAGCCATAGAACTTGACGACATCCACTTCGGGAATCAGCTCCATACCGTGCACACCCTTTCCGAGGCGCAAGACACCCACAATTGTCAGCGTGAGGATCAGATTGCCCACAGTCAGGGCCAGAAGAATTATCACAACGGTCCAGAAAGCGAAAGAGTTGCGGCCATGCTGCCCAGGGTGCAAGCGTGAGCAGCTATCGCTGTCAAATTTCTCGTCAAAGTAGTCCACGGGGTCCGTCTTGGAGTCATCATGGCAAAAGTCGTTTTCCTCAGCTGCTGCTCCAATGGGCAGTGTCAGCGACAATGCATTTTCAGAGTTTGCATCGTCGGAATAGGATGGCGACGGACCACGGAAAAAGGTGTTTTCAAAGGAATTCATTGTAATTATGAAAGTCGGGTCGGGCCTCTTGCAAAACAGTTTTTCCAGTAATGTATCTAATGATTCTAAAATAACTCTAGGTATATACGAATCTATGACATGCGCAGAACTGACTAGGCGCGGAATTCAAACATTTGATAAAGGTATTATGTACTTGGAGAAGCATCACCAATTGAATCTTAAGAAATAACTATTTAACTAATTAACGAAATTTCGTGTACAACAGTTTTACATTGAATTTACAAAATTGAAATCGCGCCCAATGAACATAACAACGAAAGACATCTTCAAGAACATATGGCACGCAGTTGTCTTTAATTTCCGCTCTCTCAAATCGTGTTTTCCTGCATCACACCAAAACTTTCATAAATTTATTCCAATGGATTGCATTCATATCCTTGTCGCTCTTTTTAAACAAGTTTACTTTGGCGCGCAGCTCTAGCGACTATATAGTGCGATAACCAAACTGCTCTCTTTGAATCGGTATCAACAATGTGTGGTCTACACATTTACGTTTTTTTTGGTTTGATCTTTTTTGCTTAAATTTTTTAATAGACAACAAAAGCGAGTATTTAAATTAAGCCAGTCAAGTAGAAAATTGATTCACTAATCGGATAAAATTATGTGGGCAGGACTGAGGGATCTATCTAGCTAGTAAAATTCGACGGAATATCAAAAACGAGGAATATGTATAATGGAACTTGAATTCGTCAGCATATTTCTAAAGTGAGACGGCCTTTTTCGGCACATTTCTGAGGGTCGTAAGGTATATTTTATCGACAAGTCCGCGGCCACACTTTTCCAAGATGTCCTTTAAGGTTAGTAGTTGCTATTAAATAAAAAATATTATATTATTAAAGCAATCTATGCCGTATAGCCAATTGACCCAAAACGGGATGAAATCCGTCGCTATCTGGAGCGCGGCAGCGTTCTGGACTCGCTCACCAAAGTCTTCATACGCGTCATAAAAGAGCGACCGGAAAATCCAATGGAGTACATACGCAACAACATTGGTGCGGTCCGCCATCAGCATGACAAGTACGAGCGCCTTCAGCAGCAATTGCAGTCGGCCAACGATGAAATACAACGATTGCGCGGCATTATTAACAACATTGACCCCGAGGCTCTGGCGGGCCAGCCGTCGTTCGTGACTTCAACCGATCCGTTCGCTGATGACTATGAACCCCCAAATGAGGCTAAACCTGAGGCTCCTGTTGAGAACGTTGGACCTCATGGTGGTCAGCCGGTTTTGGCAGAGCCAAACGCTGTAGCTGAAGAAGCTGCAGATGTAGCTGTGAGCAACAGCGTTGAGCAGCTGGCTGCCGCTGTGGAAGTTTGTCAGATCGAGGAGAAAATTGTTGCCGCTGTCGCAGAGGCTACAAATGATAGTTCAACCCAAAGCCCATCCGTCCAGGCTGAAGCCAGCAGCACCACCGACAACACCAATACCGAGTAAATCGGCACTGAGCTCGAAATCTCATTAAAGTACATTCCATGCAAATCATTCATTTAGAACATATGTATTTAAGTATTTTCTTAAATGTAAATAAACTACAGCATTAAAAGCACTCGCAACTTACCGCCTTATGGATTTTTCAAATATTTATTGAAATCAGTTTCATAATTCATACAGGTTTTATATCATTTGTTTATTAATACAAAGGATTATTGATAATACATATTAATAATAGTTAAATTTTATAAAAACACATCTTAAAAATGATAAGAGAATGATAAACGAAAAATTTTACACGTATTTTTTGTGTGGCTTGTGGGTCGCGCTGCTCTGCTGCACCAAGTACGGGGGAAAAAGGAAATAGATGAAAAAAAATGTTCATTGATTTTGTATTGACGTCGGGTGCATGTGTATGGTGGCGCGGCGTCCCTTATCATTTCATCAAGCTGCAGGGGTGGACGAAAAAAAACTGATTTTCTACTGTTTCAATTTGAAGGTCAAAACTAAGTGTTTTCGTTTCACTTTCTTGGCAAGCGTTCTTCTCTTTTTTATCATTTTCCCTTTGTTTTTAATTTTTTTCTTCATTTGTTTAATGTTTTAAGGCCAAAGAGCTTTACAGGGCCCCTCTCTTCTATGTATATGCTTTTTTTTTGACGCACTGAATTCCAGCCGCTTTGTCCGTATGTCTATGTGAAATATGTTCGTATTTCTGCCGGGTGCTCTCCTCCTCCTCCTGCACTTCGGACCTGTTTACCTAGTGTCAAGACGAAAAAAACATATGTTTCTGCAGGTGTGGGTGTAAATGTGTGTGTGTTTGTGTGTGAAATGTCCGCTCCCGATATATATATATGTATATGGGATTGGATTTTAAAAATAAATATGTTTGTTTTTAATTATGGTGTGTTTGTCAAATGTTTTTGTTTTGTTCTGTAATTTGAATCAAATCTCAATTGATTAAAACTCCATTTGACGTCTGTCCAGGTCATTGGGTCGTCGGATTGGACTGGACTGGATTGTGTGTGTGTTCGATGCTAGGAGGCACTCTTCCTTCTGTTGCTGTGTTGGTATGTAGTTGTTGTTTGTAGAATTCGACTTGGCCTGCTGTCGATAAAAAGACCAAGTTAGCGATAAGCTTGTTCAGAAATGACGCACAATAGGGTTCTACCCACTTACATACATACGTTCAATCCACGATCCGATGTGATTTTTTGCATTTTTATTTTCTCTTGGGTTGTTTCTTATGTTTTTTTTATATAGAAAAGGACTTGTTGGGTTTAAAAGATATTACTTTTTACGTTTGTCTGCCGGCTTCAAGATCTGGAACGAGCACATCAGTGTGTCGTCCACGGACATCATGGCGCCAGCATTGTCGAATTCACCGCAGTAGTTGGGTGCCGAGAACAGGGTGACCAGCTGCCTCTTCGCAAAGAACTCGTAGCCATCCTCGACCACCTGATGGGCACGGCAGATGAGATCGAACTCGTGCTTCTGCAAGAATTTAGCCACCACTTCGGCTCCGAATGTGAAGCTCACGCCGCGATCGTTCTCTCCCCAGCCCATGGTATCCTTGTCCGGATCGGACCACAGCAGATCGCACAACAGACCTTGATCCGGGACATCAGTGGGGCGCATAATGCGTCGGATTTGCTCCATCGAAGTCAAATCCGGACTCAGACCGCCATGGCAACAGAATATCTTCTCGTCAACAATGGCCGCCACGGGAAGACAATTGAAGCAGTCCGTAAACGTCTTCCAAAGCTTGATGCTGTAGCGGCGCTTGCACTCATCGTAGAATCCATAGATGCGGTTTATGCTGGCGCACTCATGGTTGCCGCGCAGCAAGAAGAAGTTCTCCGAATATTTGATCTTGTAGGCCAGGAGCAGACAGATGGTTTCCAGCGATTGTTTGCCACGGTCGACGTAGTCGCCCAAAAACAAGTAATTTGACTCCGGTGGAAAGCCACCGTATTCAAAAAGTCGCAGCAAGTCGTAGTATTGACCGTGAATGTCGCCGCAAATCTTCAACGGGGCTTCCAACTCCAACAGAATGGGCTGCGAGAGGAATATCTCGCGCGACTTGAGGCAGAGCCCACGAATTTCGCCCTCAGAGAGCTGAACGTTTTTGCCTGGCCGTGCCCCACGCACCTCGAGAAGACGTGATATTATGCTGTCGATATTCATGACATCGGCCATTTTTCTGTTTTATATTGTTTCGCTGCTCCTGAGTATGCCACAAACGATGGATAGTAGCGCCGAAATAGCTTCGAAATATTGAATTTTTCAAATCTATTTCCGCAAAATACTTTTCACAGCTAACTAGCATGAAAATTTCTCCAGTGTGTCCACACACTAGTCATACAGCAGGAAGGAACGAAACGAGTAGTTAGTCATGCTGAACAAGCTAGTTGTCTCGTTTTCACAACCATGTCGCTCTTTTGCGTCTTATTTAGCCCATTAGTGTGAGCAGGACGGCAAACGTTCACCACTCGAGTGGTGCCACATCAGTGAATAAAGGTGAATCTGACGCCATTTTGTCCCAGTCTATTATCGTCATCGATATCTGTTATCGATACTTTTCAAATATTCGATAGCACCATCGACATTGAGAAACTGTCACACCAGCAACCAGCTGTCGCGGTTTTTCGAAGGACTGCCATCTCAATTGGATTGTTTTGAAGAACAGCGCGCCCTTTGGCGCAGTTGTGGCCCACTACACCGCCCTGCCTCAGACCCCCAGGCTGGCTTCCCGGAGGGTGTGGTCAATGTGGTGCCTGGTTTCGGTGGAGCCTTCACCGGATCCATGGCAAAGCTCATCCAACTGGCATCCGGCCTCACGTGATCCTGGAGTTGGGCGGCAAGTCCCCCAATATTATCCTCTCTGACTCGCACCTACACTATGCCGTGGAGACGGCCCATTTCGGTCTCTTCTTCAACAGGGGCCAGTACTGCTGTGACGGCTCTCGCACCTTTGTGGAGGATAAGATCTACGACGAGTTCGTGGAGCGCAGTGCAGAGCGCGCCAATAAGAGGACCGGGGCAATACCTTCGATCAGAACACCGAGCAGGGTTTCCAGGTCAACCAGGAGCAGATGGATAATATCCTTGGCATGATCCAGCAGGGCGCAAAGCTGGGCCCACTAAAGTTTCGCTTTGCCATGGCTCTCTGCCAGGTGCAGCTCCACTCCTACTCATACACCCTCACGAGCACTTAGTCTCAGGCGGCCAACTAAATAAGACATGGTAAATGCTTTTATCGTAACCAAACGACGCGCGCTCTTTCTTGATGTCCCAAGGTCTATTAAATGTGGGGTTGGGCAGTAGGTCTTTTGAGGCAAGCCAGAGACCAAGCCCTCGCAGCTCTCCATGTCCGCCGGCAGCAACGCCCCACTTTATTGCAATTAACATTTAAATTAGTCTGATTCCATAATGATGTTAGTGGATATTTTGGAGAAAAAAATAGACGACAGTGTCTACATTATAGCTGAAATTGGACAAAATCATCAGGGATGCCTGGAGCTGGCCAAAAGGATGATACTAAAGGCAAAAGAAGCAGGATGCCATTGTGTGAAATTTCAAAAGTCTGATTTACCAGCAAAGTTTACACGGTCCGCTCTAGCCCGCGAATACGTGAGCGAAAATGCTTGGGGCAAGACCTATGGAGAACACAAGGAATATCTAGAGTTCTCCAGAGACCAATACCAAGAGTTACAGGCGTACAGTCGCCAACTAAATGTGGATTTTACTGCATCCGCAATGGATGAGGTAAATTATATATACACTACATACATACATATTATAGTCTTTCCCTTGTTACAGCTCTCTTTGGACTTTCTGGCAGACCTGAAGGTCCCATTCATTAAAATTGGATCTGGAGATGCCAACAACTTTCCGCTTTTGAAAAAGGCAGCTGGCCTGGGTGTACCTCTAGTCATCTCAACAGGAATGCAGACAATCCAAACGGTTGAGAAAATTGTGAAAATAATGGCAGAAGCTGGAAAATTGGACTATGCACTCATGCATTGTGTCTCGGCATACCCTACACCACCTAAAGATTGCAATTTGCGCTTGATTTCCATGCTGAAGAATCGCTTTCCCAATGTAGTCATTGGTTATTCCGGACATGAGCTGGGTGTGGCCATAACCCAGGCAGCCGTCTTGTTGGGCGCCAGGATAGTGGAGCGGCATTTTACCCTTGACAAGAATCAAAAGGGCTCCGACCATCGTTGCTCCCTTGAAACGCACGAATTTAAATCATTGATTGCGGCAATTCAAAGATTTAAGCTCACGAAACTGCCCTTTGATCCCGATGCAATAATTTCAATGCTGGGTGGAGATCAGGAACTGGCAGAAGCACTTCAATACAATGGCGAAAAGAAGGTTTTGGCGTGCGAGTTGCCGTGTCGAAATAAGCTTGGAAAATCTATTGTAGCAGCTCGGACCCTTCGCAAAGGCCTGAAGCTTCAATTGACCGATTTGGCTATCAAAGTTAGTGAGCCCAACGGCCTGCCTGCTGAGGCATATTTCGATATAGTCGGTAAGGAATTAACAGACACTGTTTATGAGGATGAACCCATAGCCGGGAACATGGTAAAATTGTAAGTCAATACTCGAGCACTCAATACAGCGTGTGCATTATTAAATACGTATCTAAAAATTAATCATATTCGCTGCGTTATTCGGCTCCATCTTCGCTGCCTTCATCCTCGTTCTCATTTTCGATCATCTCAATGTCCTCCTCCAGGTCGCCCTCCTTCTTGTCCGTCGGCTTCTCATAAACGGCAGTATGAGGAGACACGCATACTCCGTTCCACACGGACATTTCGCGTACTATGCTGGTGTTGCCCTCCAAGCCCAGAATGTGTTTGTAGCCGCCATGTGTCAGGACACGAAGTAAAGTCTGGGCCGTATAGCAGCAGAGGTCCTGCTGTTCCAATGTCATGGCAGTGTGGACACGTATATGACCAGGCTCTGTGGGATCGGTGATGCCTGCCGACCCGGGCAGGAACAGTCCGGCGGAGAGCAGTTGGAAGACGCGACGGAAAGCCAGATTAATGGGTAGAGCCTGGCGCGATGGATTGTTCATAATGGCCAAATGGGCTATCAAGTCGAGCATCCAAGCGGAGAGCGGTGAGAAGGCGTCAAAACGCTTGGTGAGATCCTTAAGAATGCGTATGAGGACTTTAATTGACGAGTGGTGGGCATTCTCCTCGAACCAACGAGTATGCCGGATAGCAGCCAGATGATTCTGCATCAGCTTATGGTCCATGTGTATGTCCGCCTCCAGTTTGCGCAAGTTCTGCGGCAAAGTAGCAATCATAATGCGAACCTTGGCCTGCACATTGGACACATCAAAGCCTCTCAAGTGCGTCTGAATTGTATGTTGATCGCCTTTGGTAAGCACTTCAGTCTTCATGCTTGTCTTCAGGTCGGCCTCCACTTTCTTCGACAGAGCCTCGACCGCCTCTTTCGTTGGCAACGTCTTTAAGATGACCACAATGTCAGCCACATTGTTCCCCGTGAGAATGGTGCCCTTCTTGAAGGACCCCACTTGGCGCACCTCTTCCAGTTGCTGTTACAATAAGAGAGGGACCTTAAAAGTCTTGCTATGATTTCGGACTCACACCAACTTACACATGTATTGAAATCGCCAGGGGCGACAACAAGATTATCCAAGACAGCCTGAACTTTGGTTACCAAATTACCAATTGCTGTCTGTTCGCTGGCAGTTGGGCTCAAGTCCTGGTTACGCTTCAGCAACGCCTGGAGTGAGTAGAAATATGGATTTTAATGGTTACACATGCATGTGTCTGTGTGTGTGTTTATCGATTTACCGCAGTCAGAGCAGAATCATCTACAGCCGGTGCTACTTTTGGAAAAAAGACCTCTGCCAGCGTCAAGTCGAATGGATGGCGAGGAACAAACGTTTTCTTAAATGGCGGCCGTATGCCCCCTCGCATGGGCCGGCCACCGCGGAGCGATCCGCGCACTATATTTCTCGGAAAATGAATCTTTAATTTTTTTTTGCAACGAACGAGCGTTGCCGACAACAATGATAAAAGTGGTAGTGTTGAGCAGCGAAATGTTTTAACATTCACACGTTATTGGATGCCCTGGTCGATATCTCTTTATTTCAAATAAACCAGTCAAGTAGGAAATATGTTCACTAATTGGATACAATTATGTGGGCAGGACTAAGAGATCTCTCCAGCTAATAATATTTGACGGAATATAAAAAACGAGGAATGTGTAAAATATAACTTAAATTCGTCAGTATATTAACGGTATAATTTTTAAGTGAGACGGTATATTTCAGCATACTTCTGAGGGTCGGACCGTATATTAGATCGACACACTTGGCAAATTTTATTCTTTTCATGTTATTTCTAATATTTTCCGTTTTTGTTTAAACCTTAAACCTGTTTAAACGATTTAATAATCGGATTAATATATGAGTCTAAATATCTAAAACGTGGAATATGATGGAACTTCAACACAAAGCGTCAGTATATTTACGGTATTTTTGGAAATTTGTGAAGTAGTTTCGGAGGGTCAGACCGTACATTGAATCGACAAGTCTGCGGTCACACTATTGTTTCAATTGCTGTGTCATTTTTGTTTCTCTGAAGTCGGCTTCTTTATTTTATATATAAATTACTGCATTTGTGCCGATAAATATGGCTAGTGAACGCTATAGCTTTTCGCTGACCACTTTCAGGTAACTAGGTCAACAAAACCATTGATAATTCTGTATTTGCCGTACATAGACCTAACCTACAACAATGACTGGCATAAACAAAACTTTTTGCAATATTTCAGTCCTTCGGGAAAGCTGGTCCAGTTGGAGTATGCACTGGCGGCGGTATCCGGCGGCGCTCCCTCCGTGGGTATAATGGGTAAGACCTGGAGCACTTTATTAATTTGCATAGTGAACAGTCTGATTGGTTGTTTTAGCTTCCAATGGCGTAGTCATTGCCACAGAGAACAAACACAAGTCGCCACTGTATGAGGAGCACAGTGTGCACCGCGTTGAGATGATCAACAAGCATATAGGTATGGTGTATTCCGGAATGGGTCCCGATTATCGCCTTCTTGTGAAGCAAGCTCGAAAGATCGCTCAGACCTATTTCCTGACTTACAAGGAGCCGATTCCCGTCTCTCAGCTGGTGCAGCGCGTGGCCACACTCATGCAGGAGTATACCCAATCCGGGTAAGGAGAGAAGAAAACTAAATAATCAGTTCGAGTATTTACTTAGCTCCTCATTTCAGCGGCGTGCGTCCTTTTGGTGTGTCTTTACTGATTTGCGGCTGGGACAATGACCGCCCATATCTTTACCAGTCTGACCCCTCGGGCGCATACTTTGCTTGGAAAGCAACTGCCATGGGCAAAAATGCAGTCAATGGCAAAACCTTCTTAGAGAAGCGGTAAGTGTGCATTAAATAAAATGGAAGGTTTCTCCATCATACGTTGGATTTTCCGTGCAGTTACAGCGAAGATCTCGAGCTGGAAGACGCCGTTCACACTGCGATTCTGACACTGAAGGAAGGCTTTGAGGGTAAAATGACTGCGGACAACATTGAGATTGGAATCTGCGATCAGAAGGGATTCCAGCGTCTGGACCCGGCCTCGATCAAGGACTACTTGGCCAACATCCCCTAAATGTTAGGTGCCCCATAAACCGATAAAGAGAACCCAAGCTAAGCTTTTTGTACGAGTACGGGACATTAAAAAACAAATAAAATTAGAACTGTGGTGTTATTTGAAATGATTTGAAAAATACAAAATTAATTTTATGGATTCAATTAACTCCAATAGCTTGAACATAACCTGCACATGTGTCTGGATCGAATATGAATAGGTTGCGATGGGGGGCCTCCATTCCGGTCACCACTTTAATGATCTCCTGTGCAACAACACCACCCACCACAGCAACTGCTGGGGAAATCTGGGCGAAGAGAACACCCAAAGATTCGTTACTTAGTGTAGAATTTGGAGCCAGTTCATCTCGAATGGCTTGCAGTAAGACTATATCCGCCTCCCTGGTCTTGTAGCTGGGGTCGCGTTTGTATGTGGTGCGGAACTTTTGGAGAACGCTTAGCAGGACCACACCAGGACCGTTCTTTTTCAATTGGCGCTGGTAGCCGGCGGCATTTATATCGAAATCAATCCAAGCCGAGTATGCAGGGTAATTCATTTCACGCTGAAAGGGGACAGCCACTTTTTCGAACTTTGGTTTCTGATTGGGCTTGGCTTCCATCTCTTTGAATTTGACAACGTCCCTGCAAGAATGCAAGTTGGAGATTTAAGCGTTACAATACTTTGTGATCCAAAGCACACATACTCGACGTAGCTATGCTGCTGGAGACTCGCAAAGTAGAATCCAAACATTCCCCATACATCGCTGGCGAAGAACTTGACACCCAAATCCTGGCAAATGGCATCGATTCGCAGCAATTCATCATTGCTTTGACCGTTGATTACCACCACATCAAATGCGCTAAAGAATTCGGCCGTCTTCTCCTTCAGCGGTTGAGTATCGGCAGAGATATCCACCATAGGATTGAGAGCTCGTGCCCGCCCCAGAGATGCCTCAGCTCGGTTCTTACCCAGAGATTGGCGTGCAGCAAGGAACTGAGAGCAGTAGTCCTCCTCAGTAACCAGCTGGACATCGTGCAGCTTTACAGAGCTGACTCCAGACAAAATAATGTTCTTTGTCACCTCCGCACCTAAGCCATTCAGGCCTGAGATGAGTATCTTTGCTGTGCGTAGGCTGGAAACATCAAACATAATTAGCCACCGCCGCTTTGAGAAGCCGGCATTTGCAACCACTCACCGCTTTTGCGACTCCAGGCCCCAAAGTCGAATTTGTCTGTCATAAAGCTCGGTCTCACCCTCAGTGAGCTCTACGCCAGTCTCGTTCTTGTCCTCTGTTTTGTCCTGTCCCATTATTATTAAATTAATATTTCACAGAAAAAATTGCAGAAAAAATGTGCAAGGAAATGGACGCTGCGGCAAATCAGCAAAATGTACTAACGCCATTTAAAAACGAGCGAGCGCCTTCGCAAGCGGTGACAACCCTGACACAAAACTCCTGCTATATTGTTTTTACAAGCCTTATTTTATTTTCGGGTAAGCACAAATGCCACTTTAATTTGCAATATATACAATGCAGCATTTCGACAGAACATGCTGCGCAAATTCGGTAAACTCCTGGGACAGCAGGTGGGTCAGCAAGCACGCTTCCCAATATGCCGCACGCTGGCCACAACAAACGCGCTGCGTAAAGGTACGGCACGCCATGACATAATGGGCAACTGTAATTTAAAGAATATCTCTGATTTTGCAGATGCTGCAGCGGAGACGGAGGCTGTTTCGGCCCCCCCAAAGACTATACTTGTGGAAAAAGACAAAAACATTACGATGATTGGAATAAATCGACCGCAGCAGCGCAATGCCATCGATTCTATTACCGCCTCACAGCTTTGCGATGCGTTTGCCAATTTCGAGGCGGACGACACTTCGCCGGTGGCCGTGCTATACGGTGTGGGCGGATCGTTTTGCTCTGGCTTTGATATATTGGAAATGAGTACGGATGAGAAGGAGGAGATCAGCGTTGATATACTTATGCGTCCCGAGGGGTCTGTTGGTCCCACACGTCGCCAGATCAAAAAGCCGGTCGTCTGCGGCATCAATGGCTACTGCATTGCCAATGGATTGGAATTGGCGCTTATGTGCGACTTGCGCGTAATGGAGGAGTCGGCAGTTCTGGGTTTCTTCAACCGTCGGTTTGGAGTACCCATGCTGGATGGTGGCACTATTCGCTTACCAGCCATGATTGGACTGTCTCGTGCGCTCGATTTGATACTGACAGGTCGCCCGGTGGGCTCCCAGGAGGCCCACGATATTGGGCTGGTAAATCGCATAGTTCCCACCGGCACAGCACTGGGAAATGCCTTGGAACTGGCCACTTGCCTTGCAAAGTTCCCGCAACGCGCCTTGAATCATGACCGCAACTCTGTGTATTCGGGCGCATTTGAGACGTCCACGTTCCATCAGGCAGTGCAGAACGAAGTAATGTACACTTCGCGCGAGATTATTGAGGACATGCAGAACGGAATCAAGTGGTTCAATCAGAGTAGGTTGCTTACCAGACAACTTTTGCATTATTTCATTAAATTTTTGTTCCAGCTTTCGAGGCGGACACCACACACTCTTGGCTGAAGCGCGATCGGTCTATGGCCGACTGGGATGATGAGGAGGTGGCAGCTGCGGCTGCGCAGAAAGAGAAACAAAAGCAAGATGAAGAGGTCGCCCGCGTTGAGGCCGATAAACAAAAGTTGGCCGAAAAAGCGCAAAAAAACTCAAAGAAAACTGAAGTAAAGCCAGCCGACAGCAGTGACCAGAACATTGATTCTAAAGAAAAGCCAAAGGAAAAATAGTTGAACCTTAATTTGAAACAAAATGAACTGTTTTCCATGATATGCTATAGCCTTGTACATAACACTCTCATCAACAGTTTCAAACTGATCCATTTGACTTTGTTAACTTATTCAAATACAAAATTATCTCCAAGCTCTGGACACTAGAGAAAGCTTCAGTTATTGAATGCAGGTGGTCGCGAGTTATTTATTTAATTAATGTTTTTTATTTTCGTTATCAGATAAAGCTAAAAGCTCAAAAATATGATGCATATTTTTTATTAACACCTGATGATTCACTTGATATGTCTAGACACTGGACGTATTCCATTCCATTCCATTCGGTTAGGTACCGTTTATCACCGGGTTCGTACTCTCTGAACTTTGCGCCGTGTTTTGTTGCGAGGAGGCAAGTTTACAATCTCGATACGCGCTCATCCATATTGAGTAATAAAAACAACTATGACTAAAATTGTTTAATGATTAGAGTTCCAAAAACAATTGAATATAATTCTTTAAAAGTAAGTGGTACTAGGAGAAGTAGACACAGAAGCTGATTGATTCTTGGTGGAAGAACAGCTTAGGAAATATTTAACTTTTTCTGCAAATGTACCATAAATGTATTCATACACCTAAAATTCAATTTCCTGATTCTAACTGTTACCGATAAAACCTTCTGCTATTCGTGTTCTTCAATTATTCATGGAAGCCCAGCATCAAAAGTGTAGCGAATGTAACTTTGAGCTTAATAGATTGAGTGAAGTGAACTAAAACATTTACGAGTATACTCTGTATGTGTAATAATACAATATAGGGAACGAGTGAAATCTGTGAAATAAATCTTTTGAAATCTGGAATACTCCTGGAAGCAGTTTTAAGGCAGCTATTGCTGAAAGCGGTTGAAGGAACGCTCAGATCGAAAAACCTTCACAAGTTAACACTCAGGGCATCACATTAAATTTAATTAAATAAAAGTAAAGCAAAGTAAGTGAATTCGGGCACAGTAAAAACGTTGTGCATACAAAAAGTCGTGTGTTTTGTGAGCAATCTTTGATGGTGATAGTGAAAAATATATTTAAAATATCAGGTGATATTGCAAAATGGTGACGCAGAGAAGTTTTTCATCTCGGCAATTCTTTAAAATATCTTTGATTTCTTTTAAATGATATGATTTTGATAGTTAGAACTTCTCCTTTAGATTTAGTTTCTTTTTAAACTTGAATTTAAACGTATTTTGAATTAAAATGGCGCGCGAAAATGTTTTTTTTTCTAAGAATTTGCAGCGAATTCCGAAAAATAAAGTACAACATCGATATCAAGCCCGATCAGTCCGATAACACTGATGTCTATATAACATATAGTATATATACTGCTGGGGTATATATTCAAGAAATCGGTGCAAAGCCGAGCAGTTCATTTCAATTCCCAAGTCAGCCAGGCTGGTTTTTTAAATTTTTAACCTTCCTTCTTTATAATTGTAAGTGTCATAGTAGTTCAAGTTCATAGTATAATGCGCGTGGTAAAGTTACAATGTTACAGTTTTTAAGATCATAAATATCGTAATAACTGAAATAACTACTGAAATAACGATACCCAATAGGGCTGTTCAGTCTTTGTGTTCGAGATATTTTATAATCAAAGTTTGATTCAGTAAAGCCTTTATACTTTATATAATGTGCATGTAACATGTACATGTACATGCGACCTGAATGCATTTCAAAAATGCAATCCACACTTAATATATTCAATTGCGAATCGATAAGGAAATTCAAGCTTATAAAAGGTGATGTACTCTATTCAATAACAGCAAAGGCGACATGCCACCAAATGCCGTAGGACTACCGGACACGTTATCAAAGGTGCCCGTCGATTCCGATCTGACAAAGGAGACAAATATGGAGGACGAGTCATCCAAGCAGACCGGCGTGCTCTTTGAAGGCGATGTGGAGACAGCCGATGGAGCCCTAGCCACGGATACCTTCCTCTTTAAAAAGGCCGAGGACCGCCAGTTGCAGTGGGTCTGGCGTAACATACTTTTGTTTGCTTACGTTCATTTTGCGGCTCTATATGGTGGATATTTGATGCTGGCCAAGGCTAAATATGCCACCGTGCTATTCTGTAAGCGTGTTCAAACCAAACTTTATACCACTTGAGATTTATCCATGACTATTCTGCAGCTGCCGCCCTGTACGTTGTTGGGATGCTGGGCATAACAGGAGGTGCACATCGTCTCTGGGCCCATCGATCCTACAAGGCCAAGTGGCCGATGCGTTTGATATTGATCATCTTCAATACGATTGCCTTCCAAGACGCCGCCTATCACTGGGCGCGCGATCATCGTGTGCATCACAAGTACTCGGAGACGGATGCCGATCCGCACAATGCCACCCGTGGCTTCTTCTTTTCGCACGTGGGCTGGTTGCTCTGCAAGAAGCATCCCGATGTGGTGGCCAAGGGCAAAGGCCTGGACTTGTCCGATTTGCGTGCCGATCCCATTCTGATGTTCCAGAAGAAGTGAGTGTCCCAAGCTAAAATCGAAAATCTGAAAAATAATATGAATCTTCCCTGTTGCTAGGCACTACTATGTTTTAATGCCGTTGGCCTGCTTCATTTTGCCCACCGTCATTCCCTTCTACTTTTGGAATGAGTCGCTGCTGTGCTCCTGGTTCGTGTCCACCATGTTCCGTTGGTGCTTCCAGCTGAATATGACCTGGCTGGTGAACAGTGCGGCCCACAAATTCGGTGGTCGTCCGTACGACCAGTAAGTTTACAAACACAATCGGTGATTTTTTAAGTATTACATTCCTATATTACTCTTCAGGACCATCAATCCATCGCAGAATGCCACTGTTTCGGCAGTCACCTTTGGCGAGGGCTGGCACAACTACCATCATGTGTTTCCATGGGACTACAAAACTGCTGAATGGGGAAACTATAACCTGAACATGACGACTGCCTTTATTGATCTATTTGCCAAGATCGGCTGGGCCTATGATCTGAAATCCGTAGCACCCGACACCATTGAAAGGCGTGTGAAGCGCACTGGCGACGGCACCCACGAGCTGTGGGGATGGGGCGACAAGGATCTCACCGCGGAAGATGCCAGAGATGTGCTCTTTGTTGATAAAAAGTCAGAGTAAATCTCCTCCAGCGTTGCGTACTCACCGGGAGCAGCGATAACTACTATTTCTTAATCATTAACAGTTAAAATTTAATTGGCCATTTATAGATGGTGTGTGATAATGAGTTATGAGCGATTATACTAAATATAATTGATGTTGTTTATCAAAGAGCTGATTTATATGGGTTTTTTTAAGCTTCTGATTACAGCCTGGTCGTGACGTGGCGTTCAGCCGGCGCAGCTGTGGTCTGACGGCGACCACTTTTGATAAGCCTATCGCTTCGTCTGTAGGAAAGTTTGAAAGAAAATAAAAAAAGCGTCTGGTAATACCTGGGGTCTAGCCTGTAATCGTCAAAGTATCAAAAAGCTTGCTTGACCACTTCAGCCAAAGACACGCGGCTCTCATCATCCTCCAGTAGCTCGATTAGTCCGATCAAGTGCTTGGGCACTCAGGCTAATGGGTTTTCAGCCCAATGGCCGGATCTGCAACTTCCACAGGTGCTTAGGACGGCATTTTGTAGAATCTTCCTGAGTATACTATACTTATACGGTTGTTCATATTGTTCGATCAGGGTTCTCTGAGAACTTGGCACGCGCTACCAGTACAGATGCACTGCAGGGCCGTCCATGGCCTTTGTCGGTAGCTGGCCAACAACAATCCCCCATACCTATGATGAACTGAGAATCCTCCGTTCCAGGGGGACCAATTGAATCACATATCAGTGCATCCTCTGTGAAGTTTGCCATTCTGATACATATGTATATTCGGCCCCAGAGCACACAGCCGAAGTTTCTATACTCTGCTTTAATGATTTTCCATCTCAATTTGGTCCATGGCATCAATAAAGATTAAATTTCACTTACTTCCACAAAATAAACGTGAGATTCTGTGTTAAATTAGTTAAAACACACTTTTCGAAATATCGACAATGCAGGCATCGATACCATGTACATTAACCTTCAATTTTAAACTTTTTTGAGTGGATTGATTTTTATTTGAATATGAGATAATGAAAAATCCTTAATATACCTAATATTAAGGTTATAGACTTTGTAATTAGCTTTAATCTAAAAGGGGATTAAGGTGTTTCCTTCGATTTTAATGATTAGGAGGTTACCTTATCTTGGGCACGCTCTAATAACAATATCATATATGCTATGACGCATCATAAATTGAATACATTTACCCTCTAAGGGACAACTGGCATCACGCGTTCCCCTACCAACTGATTAGGTCTGTAATTTTTCCAATTGACGTCCAATGGAATACAACGTGATCAACAGCACGGCTCTGATGATCTGAAGGAGATTGTAAAAGATTCAAACGTACTTGATTTTGAAAGGTATATTCCGTACTTTGTGCTATAGTTTATATAGTTAATATATAAATTTACATACTATGTTCATGCATAAACCATCGAGTATACACATGTGATTAGATTGAAACTACTGACATGCCCTTTCCATTTGAGCCCTAACTTGAGATATGCAAAATAGGTTGTTTTTAGGTTTGAATATTCGTAGGTAACTGTTATTACTGTATTGATAAGACTACAAATCTGCTTATTTATTATGCAGTTTCTATAAATAAACAAACAACTGCAATGTTCGAGTTGTCAGGTGTTTATCTGTTGTTGCTCATTATCACCACCCGTAGAAATTCGATTCAAAGAAAAGTGAAATCAAAGATAAGTTTAACTGAATGGGGGGTTACCTGGGTCTCCACGCGGTGGCATCCACTTATCAACAAACAAGTGTTCGACGGCTCAAGGATAATACCTGGCCAAAGTCCCCAAAAATGTTGGTGAACTCTGGCCTTGTTATTGTCAGGTACTTGATGTCTAATAAATGGAAAAGAATTTATAAATATTTATAAATAATCTATGATGTTGTTTAATGATGAAATATGGTGCAGTATATGCCGTATACCCCTGCGGATCTGCAAATTCGATGTGGATACCATCGAGAGTGAAACTTAACTGGATGTCTGTCATTTTGGTTCCACCATTGGATTGGGTACGAGTGATATTTCAAGGTTTAACGTACATGCGATCTTTATTATTGTTATCATCGTCTGGTCGCGTGCCAAACGATTCAATTTCCAAGGGTTATCAGTGTTGTTTCTTGTTTAAGGACTGATAACCTTCACAAAGTCGCAAGCATCCATGTATGAGCGTTTAGACAGACCATCATGGCATGCCATGATTCCATGATTGGAAAGGCGCCAATATATTTGAAGTCAGATCTATCCTATATACTTATATATGCATCAGTAGAGAATGCAATGCTCTATTTATTCATCCTTTGCTCTAGGCAACATTCTAGACCTACAAGTACGATGCGCAAGCACTACGCACCAGTCAAAACCAGAAGGCCACTCCTAAGATTTCCCATCACGATCAGCCTTTAGTTAAGCCATCTACTGGGGGTCCAATACCCATTTTCAATAGTTTTAACATAGACGCATGAATCTCAGAAGGAAGAATTCTAAATCTCGACATAGGCTTTTCCTTTCATGCCAATGGTCATTAAAGTATCATTAAAACATCTTTTAGACAGTAATTTCATTTAGTTTTTGGCTCTTGTGAGGTCAAGTGCGTTTTTTTTCGAGAACAGTAACAAAATTCGTTGTTTGAACAGAAAATTTCTTTTGCATAAATGGAAAAATACGAGAAAACAAAGAAGGTGCAGGATGTCGCAGGCACCTGCTGCTGCAACTCAAAACCGAATCTGAATCCCCGTCAGATGTTCGACGAAATTGTGGAGGACATTGCCAAGAGCCTCGCACAGATATTGCTGATCTGTGGCATCAACACTACGAAAAGCTACCAGGCCAAGTCCATTATCAGGCTTGCCTTTAAGCACCACGAAAAGTTGAGGACAAAATGCAGCCCGAAGGAGGCGGCAGAGCCGCGTCTCGATCGGGATGACATGCTGCAGGCTTTGAGCATCAGGTGCGGAATGCAAAGCGTGGAGGCCATGTTGTCGTATTCGATCATCAAGTGTGCATTTAAGGCCTTCTTTCACGGCAAGCCACCGGTGTCGCTCAGTAGTCCGATTGTGGATGCCAAGGCCTTACACGAGCAGCAGCGGGCATGGATGAATGCCTCCAACGTGACGTCCAAGCTCTTCGAAAACTACCAGTCGGCCTTCTTTTGGGCGCACAAGTCCTACAAGGAGCAGATTGATATTATCTACAGGGCGCTGTACAGTCGCATGAGTGTCCGCTGTAACCCGAACGAGGGCCCACTGTGCTGCAAGCCGGTGGTGTCCAAGAAGCTCACCCTCAAGGATGGCTGTCATCTGCGCAGGGCCAGTATTCTGTGTGGCCTTCAGGTGCCCCCCCAATTGAATACGGGCACTCTCGTAAACGTGCAGCTTCCACGCCCCTTACGCAATGCAGAGGTGAAAGTGCCGCGCTGCGATCATTGCAACGGTCGGTTCCTCATCTGCGAGTGCAACATCGATCAGCTGACGGCCGAGCAGTGCCAGGACTCGTACAATGTGAATTGGTATCGCCTGGAGGACGAGCAACCGCAGCCCAAGCCCCAGTGGCCTCTATATGAAGAAGACATGGTACCAGAGGATAAGGACAGCAGAACTCATCACTGCTCCGTGGACTGCAAACTCGACTGGAGCCGTGAGTCCATGAATGTGTGCCCGAATGTCTTCGATGGCGGTTCCTCCAACTACCAAAGCTGCACAGATCTTTCCGACAAAATGGTCGATAAACTGGAGGATTATCTCATCAAACTGTGGGCCGAAGATGCGGCCGAAAAGAAGAACTCCCAGACGTACATATGTGGCCAGGACCATTCGAGACACAGGACCAGCCTGTAAGCGATCAGGGATTGCGGATCGAGCTCCACTTTGTTTCTTCCTTTTTGTCTAATATTTCGTAAATACAATGGATTCGAGTAAGGCTCTCCCGTTTCGTAGAAACGAAAATTTTCATGTGTTTATTTCAGCCTTTTCCTGAAATGAATGTAAACCTATATTAAACGACCGTGCAAGAAGAAGTTATATGTGGGCTTGTATTATTAACTTATCACAGAAAACCTTGGGTCCTAATAAGGCTAAGACCTAGGCCAGACCTACAAATATCAACGGAAACGTTTCTCTATGTACTATACGCAAAAGTTATTCGGTCTAATATAATCAAAAATTCGTCGCCCTAAAGGATAGTTTAACCTTGAAACATTGTTCGCAGTAAACTATAAGAGTATGCAGAAATAGTCCATCTGGTAAGACAGCTGTGTATTTACACACAAATTTGTAGTTCAATAAAAATGGCATTTAAATTATTAAGAATGTTTACCAAGGCCGTGTAGAACTCTCTAAAGGTGGGTGGTTCCGTGACACCACATTTATAATTAAAGATAAGTAAATTTAAATTGAAATAACAGTTATTTAACCTGGCCGTATATGACTGCGGAAAATATTGGTTGTAAAATATCGATGTATCCAGCATGGATAATCGATACATAGCAATGTCATCCACAGTTTATCTTCCATCTCCAATTACAACCATAAAATAAACCCAAAAATTGCAGAATTAAACAAAAAGGAAGTGAGGTTTACTTGGAAGTTACTGAAAGAACCCGTAAGTTTCAATTGCATTTATTGCCACAATATGCACGTTTACAAACTCAAAGCAGTTGCTGCGCTAATCTTCAAAAGCCGTGACTGTGGCTGCAAACGCCGCACTTATTAGGAGGAACAGATTATCAAGTAATGGCCAATCGCATGTAATTAATAGTTCAATAATCTAAAGACGCAGTTTGGCGCACTTACTAAACAATGTAGGTGCATGTAAACCCGTAGTGACATCACATCTGAAGCTATGACGCAGAAAAGTTGGTACCTAGAATTACATACATACATATGTACAAATGTGTTCTTCTATGCTGTGTAGTGTTTTCAATTAACATGCATTGTGATAATAGCGCGCTGTGCACTAGTGCACGTGCACCTAATCTTTAAAGGCGCCTCTGCAGATTCCAACCTAATATTTTTAATGCGTATTAACCCATACTTTATTGCTGTCTACGTTGAAAGATAAGCCTTGTCCTTGGATTTCGATGAATGGCCATATTATGTATAATACGAGGAGACAAAAATAAGATTATATATGTATGTATGTACATAAATATTAAATATTCTTTGTTAGAAATTAACCGTAGTTTCGATGAAAACTAGGCACCATGACTCAGAACCAATGCATATTGTGCTGGTAATATCACTTCCTCGATGGTACATTTGATACCATTTCCCACACCTGTCGTGTCTAACTTATGCATACATTCAATTTTCCAACCGATGTCGGCTGCAAAATGTATAGACAAATGGGTATACAATATCATCGTATGTGTATGAATATGCATTTAAAGTGAAACTAGCCGTATGGCCTTCGTATTTTCGTAAATATTCTCGTGCTACTTAACCTCAACTTCTGTGTTTGAAAGAAGCAATATGGAAATCAGTCTGGCATGGATCTGCTTTTTGAACACGCGTATGTAAAAACTATGGCTTGAGCCGCAATACAATGCGAGGGATTGGACTCACCAACTGGTTTTAGCCTGGTCAAAGTACAAGAACCATAAAGTTATCTATCAGCAGAATATTATTAGGCTGGGCAACTGGATTCACGCTCTAACCCATTATCATTAACCCGGCACACAGAGCGAACAACATCGATTAGATTTGGTGAACATGGTCCTAACCTACTGTTGGTACAAAGTGCGAAGGCTAACCCCCTGGCAGGGCAGGTGCCTGGTGCTAGTCCATGTGAGTGGGTTTTAATTTTAGAAATTGCATTGTTAACAAACGTACTGATTAAAATCTATTGCTCACTCTCCAAATAGATGCACAGAGGCTACCCAAACGATATCCGATTCAATCGTTCACTTAGGAGTTGGATAATTGACGTCATTATAGAGTGAATGTTTACAATTTCTCCCAAATCGTAAATTCACTGCGATTGGGGAGGCTACGTGCATGCCGCTAATCTAAAGAACATAGGCAATTGGCAATACTCTATTCCTCCCCGGCAATGAAATGCACACGACGACATAAAAAGCTCTGACGTTGGCGATATCTCGCTCACTCGCTCGCATCTCAGCTGCTGTGCTGCTCACTTTCCTCGGCCGAATGTTTTCGTTTTTGCTCTAGCGCGAAAGTTTAGTCAGTTGAATTATATTTTGTCTAGCGTGCGGACGTGCTGTGGATTCACACTCAGCCTGCTCCCACAACAAATACTTGTTTAAAACTGTGCGAAAAGAAAAGCGCGAGCTAAAGAAGTTAAAAGCTACTTGGTCAAGGAAACAGGTTGGTGGTTAGCCGTGGACTATTCCAGGTGTCATGTACATGTGTATGTCTGTGGCCAGTGACTTGTTGAGCCATTTCAACAGGATTTTTGTGTCTAGTGTTTACGTAAAAGCCCCAGGCGCCAGAAAAGCGAAGCAAGAAATTACAACAATGCTCTACACTGTTCTACATCTCATTTCCTCTGCGCATTTTATCTCCGATACTTGCTATATACAAATACTATGTACTCTATACCATACAATAGTTTGTATGTATGCGTAGTTCGTAGTTCGATCTCCCTCTGCGATATATTGTTGTTCCTCTTGTGCTTAGCGATTGCTCTTCAAACTCCAACTGGACGATCTTGGGGTCGAGTTTTTAAACAGCCACCACTCTGTGGTTCGTCAAGGTTTCAGTTTAACGGTCAAAGTGTTTAGCGGAAGGTTAGATGTCGGTCTCTTATTTTTATATTTTTCGGTTAGTTTTGAGTGCTCGCCCATTAAGACTTAAAAAAAAAGGGGATGGGCGCCGGGTTTACGTTGACTTCATTAATTCACTTGCTTTTACTATGTAATCGCTTTTCCTGGTAAGCTAAACCGCTTTGTATTTTTTGTGCTTTTGTTTACTGAACTTTGACAATAATTAAACGGGCACTTAGCATTGCAAATTGGAGTTAAACCCGGACAACCAACTAAATTCGTAATGGGAATTGCAAATTAAATGTACATACATATCATTCAACAAAATGAAATAATTTCTCACTTCATTTACACCAGGTTCGCATGTCTGACTAAACCAATTAAATGTTTTAAGTTCGATGAATATTTCTATGTACCCATTGTCCACGGGTTGAAGCAAGCTCCAGTGACCGACCCAAGAAGCGTAGCACTGCATCACGCCTTTGCAACGTGATTCCGGGGTCTCTAGAGAACAAACTACATACATACGTACATACATATGTATGCATATACATAATTGTCCCTCTCTCTCTATCTCCAAATCGCGCTGGGCTGTACTTTCTTCTCTCCCACGCTACCAATAAATGAGAATGGTATACAAACAGAGAGACAGACAACACGTCGACATATTTCAAGTTCAATGCGCGACTCACATTTTTTATTGGTATTGGTCATTAGTGCGTTTGTTTGCCGGTTTTTGGTCAAATTGGCTCTCCCAGTGCCTACAAGAACGAACAGCTGTTTGTCATGCCACCTCTCTCTCTCTCCGTCTGGCTGCGAAAAAGCTTTCAGATGTGATCTGATTTACACTTACACACTTTTAAGCGTCTGCATGTACAGTGCGGAATTTTTCTTAGTATTTCCCTCTACTATTTCTCTTTCTACCTTCTTTTCTGTCGTTCCTAAGCGTGCGTCTTTTCTCGCATGAGCATCGTATGATTCAAAAGCTTTTTCCTTGACACAGGTTCACGTGTTTAATTGGGTAATATTCCTATTGTTTTTGTTTGCAATTGTTTTTCAACTGACGAAATCGGCAATAGACAAATCATAATTATAATTCGTATGTGAGTAACACCTGACTGCGAGTAGATATGTATGCATGCATTGAGCTAATAGCAACCATCACCAGACACGTGTCCGTCCGGTCGTGCATACTGATTAGATTAGACCAATAATGCTGTTGGACTAGACATACATTATAAATGTTAGCCCTGACCTTAGCAGCTGTACAAAAGTATTAATAGGCAGATCGCTGAAATGGCCAAAAATTGTTTAATCTAATCGTGTCCAGCGCGCAGAGCGCACACCTGCAAAAGCTACTTCTCACCCCTGAAGACTTTCGTATGTATGAGAGCGAGGACGAGAGCCAGAGCGAAAGCTTTTATACATTTGCCGCAAGAGTTCGTCGTGCGAATTTTTACAAATCGGTTTTAAAAGCGGCTCGTCCGTATCTGTGCAAAAATTCGTATAAATTTGTATTAGGTAAAACATGTCACAGGGAACACAAATCGAAGCAATAACAAGTGTTGAGGAAGTGGATTTTTGACTGACTATATATACATACATATGTATGTACATATATTGCTATATAGTGCTCGTCCGATTCGCAATTCTTGCTAATTTTCTGTACGGTACTGGTACATGAGTGTGTGTGTGTGTGTATAACAAAGCATGCCCAAATTTATTGAGCCAGTAATTTTCCACAAGCAATTCACAAAAGCCGCCTGCCTGCCCATAGCTAAAGCTCAGCTCAGTTCAGATTAAACGCTCTGCCAGGAAGTCGGTTCAATCACTTAACCTTGGGACAAGGCAAAGGCAAAGGCAAGGTTCCCAGTGACCCATATGTACGCTTTCCCACACCAGTGTTTTCATTATTCACGCTTTGGAATCCTTTTGACTTTATCAAGGATGTCCGCCACCTGTATTGATTTTTTTAGCTTTTTTCTGCGACTAGTCTAGGCTAGCCAGCGTTTCAGCAAAACGTATTTGTCAAGACGACGAATGCTAAACAACACGGCTGGCCTCAAGGTGTAAGCAATAGAGACAGGTCTGCAAATGGCAGCAATAAAAACTTGGAGTCGCTGCCTTCTGCCTCCACCCAAAGCGTGTCAAGTCCAAAAGCTAATTGCTTAACCCCTCCGAATGCTGGTAACAAAACACTAATTAAATTGTTATTTTCTTGTTTTACTTGAAGGTTGATGCAATATGCCGCCCAACGCCCATGCCGGTGCCCAGTCCATCACGGACTCGCTGATCGCC